AATGATGAATGAGTGTGTGCATCAGGACATTCACATACAGAGCGTTCTCTTTAGTCTAATCGCGCATAGATGCTTTTGCAGTTCATATAATGTAACGATATCGCAAGCGTTAACATTGACAGCACTTGTTAGCAGTATATAAAATAAGAATCTCATTATTTGAATGTGTGAACATAGCCCCTCTCTATGAATGAAAACTTTATACCTTATCCGTCTTCTGCGCAGTTTCTTCATATTGCGTTTGTACAGAATAACACAAAATTTGTCAAATAACAAATATTGCAGTACGAAATATCTCCATGCTGAGCCTTTTTTGCACTTCCTGATTTCCCTACTTGAGAATCCTTGTCCAATGAATGGACGACCTTAGAACACGTGTGGTTTTGTTTACAAATTTTGGTTCACTTGCAAAAAGAGCAGTGTGAAAGCGAACCGTACCAAAAAAAAACAAAAAAAATTTATTTGGTCCGGACCAAAGCAAGTGAACCATCGGACTTTCCTGGTGTGAATACACCCTAAATTTGCCGGAAGTTGTCTGGGTTTTCCCAGGCTAGCTTGCTGATAAATCAGCAGCCGAAAGAACACTGATATCTAAGTCAATCTAATTTAAAATGCGTAGATACATTTATGATGACCAGGCAATGATTATCTTCATTAACACTAAGACTTACCTCCTACCAGAGCCGATGTCTTCCACTGATCGATGAACTGTTCCTGTTCTTGGTGTACCTGTCGCTGGGTCTGAAGGAGAAAGATCTGGGCGAGCGCTTTAACATTCACCAGAATGCCGTCAGCAGGATAATCAGAAGTTGGGCAAATTTTTTGTACACCTTATTGGGCCCTGTCAGAATATGGATGCCGAGTGTGTTCAGCAAGTACTCTGACACCCAAGCCATTATTGACCATACAGAGCTGAGATGTCAGACGTCTTCATCTTTACTCTTACAGAGTGAGATGTTTTCTCAGTGTAAATCCCACACTACCATTAAAGGAATGATCGGTGTGTCACCGCATGGTGCTGTTACTTTTGTTTCCTCACTGTATCCTGGATCTGTCAGTGACAAAGAATTCTTCAGGCAATCTGGAATTATCCCTCTTTTGGATAAAGACATGTCTGTAATGGTGGACGAGGGTTTCAGAATCGATGACCTAGTGCCCTGCAAAGTTCACAGTGACAAGTCTCAGCTGTCTCATGATGAAGTGCTGGTTACTCAGGACTTTGCACAGTTAAGAATACATGTGGAGAAGATAATTCAGCGCATAAAAGGGATCGAACTGTTTGACACTATTATCCCTCTGAGCATTTCTGGCAGTATCAACCAGCTTTTTGCAGTACCCTGCCTCCTAACAAACTATCAAAACAAGCCACTGGTCAAGGCTTGGGCCAAAGAACTGACTCTGTGTTAACCTCACTGAGAAACTGGATGCTTGACTCAGATCTGCTCGTCTCCCTCAGTTCTGGTTCTTAACACTACACAACGATTTCAAAAAGAACTGGGGTAGTTTCCACGCAAAGGTTGTGATCTATAAAAAACAAACTTGACGGGAGAATGTGCGCACCTTTAAGCAAACTTTGAGCCGTGCGTACGCATATTTTGGAGACGGAGCGGTTTGGCGACACCATTGGTGAGCTGGAGCTAAATGTCTTTTTGGTCACTTTTAGACCGAAAATCTAAATAAAATTATACATACAGTATACAGAAAGATAATACAAATATAATTTCACTCACCAAGCCTATCACATGAAGCAAACATCCATCCCTTTTTAAATGTCCATCCCTTTGTTAAATATCCATCCCTTTGTTCTTTAGTGAAACTATCTAAAACCTTAAATCTTCATTATAATCATAAATACAGTGTTCTGTGAAATATGTTCACAATAACAGTTTAAATAAATAAAACTATGTTTTACTTCTGATATAAACATTTAGATTAAATATGCCATTCTGATTAATGGAGTTAGACACTTAAATTACATGAAATCTTTACTGAGAAGTTACAACATTTTTTTATATTCAATAAATAGAAATACTTGTTGTGGATGCAATGCTTTCAAACACTTTTCCTCTGGCATGATGTGTTTTAATATTTTAACTACAGAGATAATTGCTTATCATGATAATAGCAGATTGTCTGAGAAAATGGTTTCGTGCAAATAATGCACTACAAGGTCTATCTGTTTCCATTAAAAATATAAATCAATTAAAAATAGGCCAGGCCTACTCTTTGGCCAGTGGAAAAGATTGAGAAAAACTTTCTCTGAAATGTATTTTACACTATTTGATTTATTTATTCAAAAACAAGGCAAGGATATAGGCTACTAAATTATTTTTTATTAATGTAACTAATGTGACGGCACATCTGTATTTCATATTTTCCAAATGTCTTGTACCGTTAAACATGTTATCACGTGGATGAATAATCACATGCAAATGATATGCAGATAAGGATATGCATAGTAAAACTAGGTGTTGTAAGCTCCATATATGGTTGTTTCGGGCAGGAGACGCATGTGCGCACAATCTTCCGCTGACTGGGATTTATAAAGTGAATTCTGCGCAGGTTCTGGTGTACGCACGGTTTTATAAGTCAGAATATTTGTTTGCGTACGCCATTTTTGGCTTTCGGACGCACGTACACTTTTAGTAAGGATCCTACGCACAGTTTTATAAATGAGACCCCTGGGGCCTCATGTACAAAGACTTGCGTTGAATTCATACTAAAACATTGTGTACGGACAAAGCTGTAAATGTGCGTACGCACAAAAAAAAGCAGATGTATGAATCTCTGCGTACAAAGGATCCCACGCATATTCTCTTTGTACATCCCAATTAACGTAAAATTGAGCGCACATGCACGAGCACAACGCCCCATCCAGTCTCCTCCCCCAATTAAATTAATTTAAATATGGTAATTAGTCCAATTTGGCAAAAGAAACCTGCAAGGACATGGCTAAAGCAAGCAAGAAACGAAATTTCACTGAAAATGTATTCTGTGTGAAAGTGTAATTTATTCCTGTGATCAAAGCTGAATTTTCATCATCATTACTCCAGTCTTCAGTGTCACATGATCCTTCAGAAATCATTCTAATATGATGATTTGATGATCAAGAAACATTTTGAGTAAAACAGGTGTGCTTCTGCTTCATATTTTCGTGAAAACCGTGATATAGTATTTTCAGGATTCTTTAATGAATAAAAACTTAAATCAAACAGATATAGAAATCTTATAATCTTTTGTAACATTATAAATGCATTTACTCTCACTTTTAAACAAATTCAATGTGTCCTTGCTGAATAAAAATAAAAATATTACTTTCTCTTTTATCTTTACTGACCGAATTAATGAAGTTTATTTTTTATTCCTAGTTAAGCCAACACTGCCATTGCTAGACGGGTTGTATCAATTTGCACATGCTTTATATATGTTCTCACTTAATTGCATAATAGAATATTTTAATAAGACTTGTGTGACAATAATATGTCAAATAATTTATCAATTACAAATTATAAGCAATATCTGACAGCTGGTGGTGCGATAGAACAATTCGTAGTGTAATGTTTGCCACTTCACTTTATTGGCTCTATGAGTCGCCAACGGACAAAAATCACGACAAATATACGTACGCCAGACACGAAGTTTACTTAGAGGAACGCACATTCTTAAGTTAATTTCACTGTTAGTACATCTGGCCATGAACGTGAAAGCTGACGTATGCCGTGTTTTTGTGCGTTGTGTTGATACATGAGGCCCCTGGTGTTTCAGATGTGATGCATATATGTAATACAAATTATGTTTTGACTTCAAGCTGTTTGTCAAAGTTTTAATTTAGTTTTATACCTAGTAAAATTGATAAAATCAGAAAACATATTTTATACAGTCACAGTGTGATACAGTTATTTGAAATGTTAAAATGATTTTTGTCATTGACAAATAAATCTGTCTAGAAAATATTTTTTTTCTCTTTGTTCATCGTCCTTCTGCCGTTCATTATGTTTACAACTGTGACAATGAATGCTTATCAGGATCAACAAAATGCTGTATTTTCAGAAGTATGAAGAAGAAGTTTACGACATAGACTCTTTAAAAGACGTCCAAGAGTTCTACACACGGGTCTGTTGTAGGGACATCGACTTTACATTATCATACCCCTACAATGATGCTGAACAGGGGTGCGTTTCCCGAAAGCATCGTTAGCCAACTATGGTCGCAAGTTGGTCGCAAATCCCATTGAACTCTATTGGTAACGACGGAACTTGCGACCATATTTGGCTAACGATGCTTTCGGGAAACGCACCCCAGAACGGGACTTTATTTTGTCTATGGGGAATTGATTGGATTGTTATTGATGTCTATTGCTGAGATCTCATGTGAGTGACAGGTTGCCCCGCCCTCACACCAGCGAACACATCGTCAGAGAAAAGATGTAGTTGCAAGAGGGAGGGGAAGTTATTTAATTATAGAGGGCACATAAAAAAGTAATTATGTGCACTGATAAATCATTTATAACAAACACTGCTATATTCCATAAAAAAAATAGAAATTGTTCAAATGATTTCATGGTGCCTTTAATGCTATTCGGCAAATACACCCACCCCTTATCATCTTAATCTAATCTTTGGGGAGGAGGGGCCCTAAAAATAATTATGTATTATTTTAATTAGCAGAGATAACAAGAGGTTTTTTTTTGTTTTGTTTTTTTGACGATTCGGCGATTAGAGAACTCGAGAACCACTCGTGAACTAATCTTTCAGACCGGTCAACCGATTCATCAAAAAGATTCTATTCAAACGAACGATTCGTTCAGTCCGACATCGCTCCCGTGTATTCTGGCGCTATGCCATCGTTGCATATCCCATCGTTTACCTGCCTTACACTTACAAATGAGGAATAGATCATGCTTCACTGATTCATAATGTGAAAAATGCCTCATTGACTGTGTGTGTGTACCGCTGCAGTCTCACCTGTGCGCCACATAAGCACGAGCCCTCCTTCTTGGCGCTGCCACGTCATTCACCACCGTCGCGCGCATCCCTCGGAGACTCTGACGTGTCTGTCCACAAAACCGGCAGCTGGGAGAAAAATAATAAAACTGACTATAATCTCACAGGTGACACTAAGCGGGGATCATGGGGGGATCGCAGAGTTTGGAAATTCCAGGAGGTGGTTCGGAGGGCTATCACGTTCTCAGAGTGAGTGTGTTTTACAGACCCGTCCGCTCTATCGGTCTCTTTCTTTCACTCATACGGTAGATCGCGACTCTCAGGCAGCGGAAAGTTCAAATCGAGGGTGGGGACATCAGTGCGGCCTGCTCACATTGGCTAAATGCTAACGTGGCTAAATGAAAATCTCTGCAGTTAAATGTCAAGAGATTTCAGCATTTGACGTGCAAAGACTGATAGCCTTTAAAATGCACGTCTTTATTTATCCTACTGCGCCATGTATTTTTTGTGTGTGTGGATGGGCTGTTGAAGAAGCTTACTATGTGTCATTATGGATAGCTGTTTAAATGTTCAGTTTTCATCTGCCACAACTCAAAATGACCTAAACTAAAGCAATTTCCTCAAGAAACAGCATTACGTGTGTAAGAGAAAGAGCAGTATGTCATTTTGATATTTGGGTGCATGCATAACTTAGATGCATGACTGCATAATTTGTAGGTTGACATCTCAGTCATGATTGTAGTGTTACCTGTGACATTTTCCTGAAACAAAGAGCATTATTTCATGATCACATATATATCAGTTTATAGTTTTGCCAGAAGATATTGATGTTTGGTATTTTTTTATTTGAATGTGATGGTATAACCAGTCTCTTTTCTCTGTTATGCAGGTGCAGGAGAATTCTCCCGGGCACAGAGCAGGACTCGAACCCTTCTTTGACTTCATTGTGTCCATCAACAACACGAGACTGGTAGGTTTGTTGCACATGGTGCATGGTCATCCATGGTGCATGGTCATCCATCATCTCTTCAATGAACTGACTATTCATTGAACCTCATCCAGTGTTTTTAAGTTATAAACGTGAGAAACTGATAAAGAAACAAGCTTGATTTTCCTTATATGAACTAGGGTTACTATTTTAAATGGACAATTGGTTTATAATTTGAATAGCCATGTAATAATAATAATACCAATTTTGGGACAATCCAGTAAATTAGATACTTTAAGTGAAGTCTGGTATTATGTAATGCTTATAAGACTCTAAACAGTAAAACTGACTCTAAAATCTGATTGGACGAACCACATTTGAAGCCATTGTAAAACATCTGATATTATGCACACCTGGACTGTACATTATTTAAAGTTTAAAATGAATATGTGGTTGACGCATTCATTTTGCATGGTGTTATATAGCATCATTTTACACAATCTATCCTACCTAGTATGTTTGTTGCTGTTTAATGTTGTTTTTGCTTTGATTTATATAGAACAAGGATAATGACACGCTGAAAGACATATTGAAGGCTAGCGTTGAGAAACCTGTGAAGATGCTAGTGTACAGCAGCAAAACCCTCGAGCTGCGGGAAGCCACTGTTACTCCCAGCAACATGTGGGGCGGCCAGGGTCTTCTGGGGGTCAGCATCCGCTTTTGCAGCTTTGAAGGAGCCAATGAGAACGTCTGGCATGTTTTGGTGAGTACATGAAAGAGTGGTGAAATGTAATCAGAGAAAGCTCTTGGAATGAGTTATTTATTTACACTGCATATTTTGTAAGGGCGGGGTTGCATTTGATGAAAATAGCACGTTTGCTTTGAACTCATTTTTGATGAACAACTTTTGGTCAATTAGTCGTAATTCAGCATGGGTGTGTTCTTGTAAAACAGACCGGTCAGTCGAGTTGTAAGATGAAATGTGCGCCATGACTCGTTTTTCACTTGTTTTGTAGGAAGTGGAACCAAACTCTCCTGCAGCATTAGCAGGATTAAGACCACACACCGACTACATCATCGGAGCAGACACAGTCATGAACGAGGTACGTTTCTCTCATTCACATCACAAACTCTTTTCAGACGTCATGATAATTGTGCAAAAACATCTGCATTTTGGATAATTTGTCAATTAATATCACTCTGCAGCTCAAATATAGATTAAAACACTTGCAGATTCTTCAGGCATCCTAGAAAAGAGCTGAAATGAGCAAAAAGTGCTGTGCTCATTATCTGTTAATAACATATATATTTATCATTTTGCATTTTTATATTTGCAAGAAATATTTATATTTTTCATTAAATGTTTTGTTCACTACAAATTCCACCTTTTTGAAAAAAGAAAAAGAAGCTGTGAATTAATCCGCTTTAATAAACTCCATAAATTCATGAGCACACATTTTCTGTAAAACAACGACATGCAGTGAAAAACTGATTGGTTTTATAGTTTTAAAGGGTCACTTCACCCATTTGCATTAAGGTTTGTATTGTTAGAAACCCAGTCATATATTATAATGATGGTGGAATTTTGCTTGTTTTTTTTCTGAGATGGGAGAAAAAAGGATTTAAGTGTTTTACTTCTGTCCTATCGTGACGTAAATATCGTCATTTTGCGTCACGATAGGACGGAAGATAAATTTCATTGCATATTAAGAAAACTACAGCCTTTAGCTCATTATTATTCAAGGGCGTGGGACCCACTCACCCCACCGGCCTATTACAGATCAGTGGGTGGGACTAAACCTGAAGAAACTAAACTATTAATCCGCCATCTTGCTTGGAAGATGCAAGCAAGCTAAGCTAACAAGCGCTCAAGGAGTTAGATTTACCATAATGCCTGAATTTACGACACACGATATCGAAGACGAGGATTTTGAAAATCTTTTGCTCGAAACTGATGTTCGTGGCTATTTATACGAGCCACAATATAGCGAAGAGCAGCTGAGGCTGATGGAGGAACAGGAGGCGGCGGCGTCGGGTTCGTTGTTGTGGGAAGAATGAGACGGGAATCGGCGAACATTTAAACATTTTAATAGTAAAATAAACAAATACAAAACAAAAGTATAAGCCAGCAGCCACGCACTGCTGGCCACACACAACAGAAACAAAACCGACCATAAAATCAGGCCTGTTCCTCTCTCGATCTGCCCTGTCGCTCCTCGTTTTATGCGTCCGCTCCTCGGTGAGAGACGCGAGAGAGACCAGTGCGTCTCACAGGTGTCGTTCATTATCACTCACGCCACCGGCCTCGCGCCGCTCTCACGTCCCTCGTCCTGCTCGCCACAGCCAACTAACTATACATTTTGTGTGAAATGAATTTCTAACTCTGTTGGCAGCTAACGTTAGCCCTGTAGAGTAGACGGAAGAGTGATTTCTCTGATGTTTGCGACTTTGCGCTGTTCTGGATTAGTGGGAGTGGCTTGCGGAGCTGTGCAACGTGGTGCATTCTGGGAGTTGTGGTCTTACACACAAATGCGCCCTAAAGTTATTTTCTGTCTTTTCTCGGTCAAGAGGGCACCAAATTCAAAATTTCTTTTACATTTCGACTACATATATGACCCACTTTCAATAAAGATTAATGTTGAAATGGGTGAAGTGCTCCTTTAAACACATTCTTATGTTTTCAAGACCAGTGTTGTTATTGTTAAATAAAACTAACAAAGTTTTTGATAAATGCTACCTTGGCAACTACGTTTAGGTACTAAAATTACTAAAAAATACAGGAAAGATAAATAAAAATATAAAATAATGATAAACGCATCAAAAAATGACTAAAACTGAAACCAAAATTATTATGAAATCATGTAATCATTTAATATTCAACAATATTATATTGATCTGCCTGCATTGACACCATTATATATGAGAACTGAACTGGATGTTTTCTCCAGAGCAGCTTTATATATATATATATATATATATATATATATATATATATATATATATATATATATATATATATATATATATATATATATATATATATATATATATATGTATGTGTGTGTGTAAATTAACTAAATTAATAACTTTATTATAACGAAAATGAACCATCAGTGAACTTACTTAAGCTGGACTATGACGCTATTTTCTTCTAGATCTGCTGTACAGCCGAAACAAACTCTGTTGCATTATTTTCCTGTTATCACTGTAAAGCTGCTTTGAAACCATCTGTATTGTAAAAAGTGCTATATAAATAAAGGTGACTTGAAATCTGAAAATATACACAAAATGCCAATTTAAAATGAGTAAATACTTTAATGTAAATAATACTCAAATAACAGTTCAAGACTGTCACAAGGCCTTTAGTGCAAAATTACCAAATCAGCATAATTTGCAATATTGTAGAATACATCACAAAAAAATCAAGATACATTTCAGTGATTTTTATTTGTTTTCTTCATTCTGTGTGTGCTGTGCTCTTTCTCCAGTCAGAGGACTTATTCTCATTGATAGAAACCCATGAGGGCAAAGGCCTGAAACTCTACGTCTACAACACCGACACGGACAACTGCAGAGAAGTGGTCATTACGCCCAACGGTGCCTGGGGTGGAGAGGGCAGGTCTGTGAAACTCTCTTGCTCCTCTGGTTCCTGCCTCTGTGTGTGTGTCTGACGTGATTATTTTTCTCCGTTCAGTCTCGGCTGCGGCATCGGCTATGGTTACCTGCACAGAATCCCAACTCGGCCCTTCGAAGAGGGCAAGAAAATAAGCTTCCCCGGACACACCCCCAGTGAACCCGCCAGCCCGCTAAAAGACGGCTTCACAGAGGTTAGTGTGTGTATGTGTATTTCACATGGTGTATTTGGTAGGGCTGGGTAAAAAATATCGATTTCTCGATATTAATCGATTCTCATTTTTACGAACCGATATCGATTCTTATATCTCAAGAATCGATTAGTCATCCTGTTTTCAGTTGATGAATGAATGGAACATTGTCGCGCGCATCCCATCCAATAAATCGCAATAATCTTTGTGCTTTGTTACTATTGATACTAAATAAAGTCTCAAATTACGTCCATTTTCTTACGAAATTCAAAAAACATAAATACCGCTGTGGCGTGAGATCGCTCTGGCTCAGCTCAGCTCAAGAGAAGCAGCAGCGCGGAGCGCACATGATCTCCTCTTCTGCCTTAATAATACCAGTTACAGCGCCAAATAAACATGAACGAGCATCTGAAAGTGTGTTAAAAGATAGAGTACAACTTATCGAAATCCGTTTCATGTCACATGGAATCGCTCAATCAGTGTTTCGACCGTGGAAAGACGTCAGTAAAACAACTTGTAAACAATGTCATGTAACGTCACATTTACCTCAGAAAAACCATATGTGACCATAAAGTCGTTAGTCAGCTTGAAAAATTAACTCTAAAGAGGAGCATTTTGCTAAATATATGCACCATATTACATACTCATTATAATTTTTAATGTTCTTCGATATTTAATGCATGTTTGAATAAATCTGGCAAGTTTTTATGACAGCCACCATTTAAATGTTTATATTTCATTTAACTTTATTATTATAAAAATAAATAGTGGTATTTAAGTGTTTGTATAGCTACAAATCAGTTAATTTTTACCTTCAATATTATAGTAGGCTAATGAAGCCTAGTAGGCTACAACTGACTCCCATAGTTTACAGCATTAGTTAAGAGATTTGTTTTCCTTGAGAGAATTTGCCATGTATTTTACCTGATATCCAAAATAATCAATATTGAATCGAATCGGAATCGATTCGAATTGCAAGCTTGTGAATCAAAATCGAATCAAATTGTGAAATTTGTGTCAATACCCAGCCCTAGTATTTGGATATATTTGGTCAGCCGTTTGACTACAATGACGTTTTGTGTAGGTTCAGCTGTCTGCAGTGACTCCGCCCCCTGTGTCACAGCCTGTTCCCACAGGACTTGAGGACAGTCTGTCCTGCCTGTCACTCAGCTCTGCCCAGCCCTCAATGCCCAGCGAGCTCCACACAGGTGAAATGTCAACGTTTATGCTGTACTTCATATTTTTTCTACATCACTCATAATTTATAATATTAACATAATGCAAATACTGTCATTTTCTGCAGGTGTTCCTACAGTCCCCCTGCTGCCCACTCAGGTGACCCCAGGGCTGGGTACCCTTCCCATTGTCAACCCCTCCACCACTGTACCAGGTAGAGAACATAATAATAATAATTCGTTACATTTATATAGCGCTTTTCTGGGTACTCGAAGCGCTTTACATGGAAGGGGGAATCTCCTCAACCACCACCAACATGCACTTGTCTCTATTTTTGTGAAAGTAATATAAGCTGGAAGAAAAGTTTCTTTTCACATTCTCTGTTATGTGAATAAAATGATTTTCATTTTGTGCTTGTAGGTTTGATGTCCTTACCGTCTGGTCTCCCTCCCCTGCCAAACCTGCCTAACCTCCCGAACCTTAATCTACCGTTACCGAACCTTAGCGCTGTATCTTTAGCTGGAATCAGTGGGTTACCTCATAATACAGCAGGTATACTTTATTATACATTATACCATATTACAGCTTATTCTGACTAAGAACCGGCCACTTTGGCAGGAAGGAACTGACGTGTGTGACTGACATGTAAACAAGGTCCTCACGGGTCCTTAAAAAGTCTTAAATTTGATCAAATTTCAAAGTCTTAAAGCGAACCTACTAGTATTATGCCTTTTTGCAAAGCCTTGATTTTGTTTTTGGAGTCTACTAGAATAGGTTTTCATGCGTGAAAGACTGACCATAACCGTGAGTTTCAACACACTTCTAACTTCTTTGGGCGGGAATTATTTAAATGAGGAATATTGTGACGTGAAGGAAACTTAAGACTACAATGGAGGCGTTTGAGGGAGTTCAGAAACACTGACACTGATATAGAGAATAACTCCCGCTGGAGGGACTTTGTAACTTTGCAGAGCTTTTTATGCTCAAACAGCAACATTACACACTAAAGAACATGTAAAAAAAGCATCTTAAATAGTAATACAGTCTTAATTATCAATTTAAGAGGTTTTAAATTTGGGGACAGAAAAGCAGTAATCGTGATACAAATGAATGTGATTTTATTCAAACTGTCAAGGCGCTGTTTTAATCACACTAATGCAAACGCTCATGTCTCTTTAGGTTTGCCCCCTCTTCCTCCTCTGAACCTGCCTGGCATCTCTCCTCTGCCCATGCACCCCGTTCTATCTTCCACACTTCCCAGCATGCCAGGCGTCACGCTGCCATCTTCCCTGGCACCATCTGACTTCGGACCGCCCGTCTCCTTAGCGAACGTGCAAACTCCAGCGCTCATACTGGATGCCACACCTAACCCTGCGGTCAAAGACATGCCTGTTACCACCGAGACCCTCTTACAGCAGACGACCCCGGAGTCCTCGTAACGACCCCATCCGCTGTACGTCTCTATTGTATTTATTCAGTACAAAAAGATTCCAGTGTGCAAACACACACAGAGATAAGCACGGTTCTGTTGAGAGATGCCAGTGTCTGAGGTCCGAGAGTAATGAGCGTGTGGACCGATATCTAATATTAAAACGTACAGTAAGATGTACAGTACGTCTGGTTTACACTCTCCGCCGAATCTGTGCTGTCTCATGCTTTTTCTTTCTGTATATCATGTAATCAAACGTTAGTATAGCATTCCCTGTAATTACCAATTGCTATGTGATTTTACTATGTAACGTCTGGCCTTTTTTCTTTCTTTGCACCACGTTTCGAATGCTTTGATTTTTCTTTATACGTGGTCAGACTGGGCTCTGGGCCTCTGTTTCTCTCGCTCACACACTCTCTGTAAGATAGCTCTGCCGTCAAGATGAGCGGAAACACAATTCAGATGAATGTGCGCTTGTGCAGTTTGAAGATTGTGAAGGAATCTCTCATTCAAACATACGCAAGCAATAAACTACCCAGTTTTACACTATCACTGTCTCTGTCTGTTGAATCTAAATTAGTGATTTAGCAATTGATTATAAATCTATCTCACAGTTAATTATATAGTTTGTATTGGGTGCAGTGATATATATATATATGTGTGTGTGAGTGTGTCAAATTGCAATTCTTTATCTTAACAGGGTCAAGCGATGAGGTTTTCAGTAGTTTATGCTGATATTTAGAGAGCATGGTGTATGTGATAATGTAGGGTCTAGGGGTGTCACGATTCTCCAAATCTTCCATTTGATTGAATTTTCGATTCTAAGGTCACGATTCGATTCTCGATTTTTACTTTTTTTTTTTAAAGCACAGGTTGCTATGCCATTTTTAGAATATACTTTTATGCAATATCATATCTGACCTTTGTTCGCAATGGACCACACTACATTGTCAAATTTAAAACATTTATTAACATAAAGTGCTTATAATATAATACCTTATATCTTTATTCAATTGGAAACTTAAGCAAAATAACCTGCCATGTTTTGCCATAACCTGCCATATGCAGATTATAAAATCAAATCAGTCATTTTAAACTGTCTGCGAAATGCAATTTCACAAACAGCGTGAGTGTTCAGCGGTGCCGCGTCTTCTCTCTCTCTCTCTGTCTCTCAAAATGTGTTGCACAAGGCAATCGCCAAGCGCGCTGCTCTCACGTTTCGGGAGTCGTGACATGACGGAATTGTCACTTGCATAATCGGGCCAGCATTGCATCGTGAGTAACTAAAGCTTACCATTTGCACATCTTTTTAAGTCTTACCAGTTTGAACATTCAAGCGATTTTAAACTATTCAGTACGCGCGCGCTCTCTGAGAGAGGGTTTTCTTTGCACACATACATAAAGCCGCCTCGCAAACAGGCAGATGACGACATTCAAGTTCACAAAACAAACAAACAGTTGTTGATTTAACAGATAAATCTATGTTTTTGTGGAGATGCCCTGCCATGTTAGTCGTGCTGCCAGTGTAAGAATATGGTACACGCACATAGCAGAGCTTGCAAACTGTGGCTTTTTTGAAACGCGAACGTTGAACGCGAACGCCAACGTTGACAACAGAACTCACTGGAAATCCAAAATACTTCCACACCGGTGACTTCAATGGAAGAGTAGACGGTTCAAGTTCTGTCGATGGGTCTCCTGCATCTGCAGTTGCCATGCTATCTTTTGACTGGCTGTAGCTAAGTTAAAGGAGGTAGACTCGCAGCACTTCAACACGCGTGTTTTTTTTTTTCGTGCTATGGGGGCGTGGTAGCATCAACGATTCCATTTTTTAATTCGAAGTTCGAGATTGTAAATTAATTTCGATCGATTTCGATTTAAAATCGAAATCGTGACACCCTTAGTAGGGTCAGATTAAAATATATACATACATATTATATATATATACATGGGGCCTAAAAGTAACTTTTTGCCACACCTGCCAATGGCCGGTGACAAGAAAATTTACCAGCCATAAATATTTTACCGGCAATTTGTTTGCAATAACAGACTATTATGTTACCTAAATTTTAGACACCAGTGAAAAATCATAATTCTCTTTTCCAATTTCGATACCACAGCTGAAACTATTAGCCTAACTAATATCAATGTAAAATATTATTAAAGACAAGTTAACAGTTTTCTGGTAGAGACACTGAATAAAGTAATCAAATGTAAAATAACACTAAACAACTTCTGTAACTTTTTAGTAAAGATAAATCTGTGAAATTTATACAGTGAAGACTATCCAGTCAAGAGCAGTGATTTCCTTTCTCTGACCTTTGTCGTTTGATTAACATTAAAAACACAGACAGCCGCACATATATATATATATATATATATATATATGTATATATATATATATATATATATATATATACATACATGTGTTTAGCTTTAAGGTATTAATTTTTCAAGTAAATAGAAAGTATATGAGTATTCTAAAGTAGGCATTTAAAGTTTTTTTTCATGCTATAATATGTAATTGTCAGTAATTACAAATAGCTGGTAAATTCACATACATGTATGTGTATATACAACATACCTGTATATATATATATATATATACACACACACAGATATATATTAGAATGATTTCTGAAGGATCATGTGACTGAAGACTGGAGTAATGGACTGATGAAAACTCCACTTTGCATCACCAAAATCAATTATATTTTAATTATTTTAATTTTAGTATATTCAAATAGAAATCCATTATTGCACTTATATATCCATTATTATTACAATATCACAGTTTTTACTGTAGTCCAACTTTTGGTTCTGTCCAGCAGGGGCCCTGAAAGCATTTACAACAGCTGCTCTGATCTCACAAGAAAATGTCCAAAAACATGTCTGTTTCTTGCCATTTCATTAATATTTATATTATTGTTAGTATTACATTTTGTTTTTTTTTCTCATTTTATAATTGTATTGTGTGATTTATTTTTAGATAAATGTACTTCAAATGATTACTTTTTTTTTCCTCTCTCAATAAGTATAAATTATGATATTCTGTAAAGAGAAAACAGTAGCCGTTTCAAAGCTAGATGTGTAAAAGGGTAAATGTGTAAATATAAGTTAGCTTCTTCCTTTTTTTTCTATATTTTTTCTTTTCTTTTGAACATGCTGAGATTTTGTTCTTATTATCTTCTTGTTAAAATAGGTTCTGTTACTAATGATCATGTTCAGAGGAAAAAGAAAGAAAAGAAATAAATTATTCATTCATTCATTCATTCATGTCAGCACAAACACCAAAGGAAAGAAAGCACATGCATCCAAATATTTTCAAAATGTTTATTTCTCTTTTGGCTACATTCTCTACAATCGCAGCAGCACTTTAGAGACAGATCACCAATATGTTGAGCTGAAAACTGCTTCTGGGGTTTGAAAGAGTATTTAGAGAGAGAGGAAACAACAAAAGCTGAGATTCTTCCCCTGAAAACAGACTCTGGAAGCTTTGACAAGTTTGATCGCGGTCCGGTCCACGTCATTCGGAGATGCTGACCTGACTCAGGCTCCGGGATCAGCGAGGGTTGCTAAGCAACATGACAGCACTGGGTCTGGGCATAAAGGGGTTAAACGATCAAGGGTGGGGTCCGGCCCACCTTCCGTCTGCTCAAACACACACACATACGCTCAGACCCTCAGACTCACAACACACCTCATTCACAACCACATGGAGTTTGTTTTTCATGCCGTTTCAATGGTAAATCAAATTTATATTTGGTCGGATTCTGAATAAATCATAGAACTAAAAGCAACATCAGGTAGCAGCGAGGTGATGCTGCATCAGACAACTAAATTTACAAACAAACGGAGAAAATAAGAAAACCTGCTCAGGGTTGGATTCATTAAATACGCAGGTTGTGGTTTGAGAGGTCTACTGAGACGACTCTCTTTACGGCGTCTCCTCCTACATGCAGGACGCCCCGGTGAAACTGCTCTCATCACACTGATCTATAACATGTGCAGCTCATTTTACACCCCAAAATCCAAATAAATAAATATGCGACTTAAAAGAATCCCATTTCATCATTTTTACAATATATGGCAATTACATGTATGGAAAAGACATTGTATGCGCATACATCATTGTAGTATGAGATATACAGATTGTGACACTATTTTAATGAGTTTTACGGTTGTAAAGAATATATATATACATTTTTAATTATATAAATTCTTTATAACAGTAAAACTCAATCAAAATAGTGTCACAATCAATGTAAATCTGTAATGGTCCTGAAACAGCCTTCATTTCTTTAATGCAAATTAAAATCAATTTTGGGGGTGAAACATGACCTGGACATTATTTGTATAGATTCATCCATCCATTTTTTTTAAAAAAATATTGCGCCCATTTAAACATAAGCTGACAATGTTCTTAAATGTTGCTTTGAAGTGAAACAGACAGTACTTTGTAACACACACACACACACACCTTGCAATCTGTGGCCAACACACATGTATGTTATGAACAGCCAACATATAACGCTGTGGCGTAAAACATCCATTCTCTGGTGCACACACACAAATTCTTAGACACCTTTGTGCCACATTAAAACACTCGTTCGTCTATTTCCAATCACACTACAATTAATTGCCTCTAAATTTCACACTTACACAAAACAAAACACCCCTTTACTGAGGCGTAGCTCAGGGAGGATATCAACAAGAAGCTAACACGTTAGCGCAACCCTCCCAAATCTACTCCACAAAATGCCTTGGGTAAAAAAAAAACAAATATCCATTTTCAAATGGTTCTAGCTCTGACTGACATCTGGATCCACACAGGAAATGACATCAGTCATTCCTGCCCCAATATCAATGGCAGTCACTGTGGCCGGTGTGGGTGGGTGTGTCCTACAGCCTGTCAGCTGATACATAGCTCCTCCCCCTTCCGGTCCACCCCGAGGTGTCGAAGGGAGGGAAATCACCATCAGAACCGTCAATCACGATCTATCAGCCAATGAGATCAGTAGGAGATTATTCCTGAAGAGGCAGGGCTGGCGGGCGTGGCCTGCAAGTTCCCCGACGAATTGGACCGTCTCATGTGAGGAAGGAGGTACGAGTCACTGCCCAGTTGGTGGACGTCGAACCGGTCCTCCTTTCTGTAAGCCAGACAGCGGCGGATAAACGCCTGCGGAGGACAAGAAACAACTCAGACTGTCGTGCCCACACATGCGTTTTAGGGCTGCATGATTAATCGCAATTTACATGTAATCGCACTTGAACCGATTTGGCTTATCGCAATTATGAAATCGCAAAGGCTGCGATTATTTTTCATGCGCAGCTTGTCAGTGATGTACAGCTCTGTAAACGCCTCTCCGTCTGAAAGCACTGAGTTTGAGTCACTTAAAGCAACACGCGTCACATCTTTCCAAACATGAGAAGCATTTATGAACCTCGTTTCCAACAAAAGACAACATTTAATAACATGCTTTTACTCCAAACTCACATCATAACGACAGTTGAGCTCATCCTTCTGCGAGATGATGTGCTTCTTACGCAGAATAAGGCAGTCGTGTGTTTATTAGTCATGTTTAACCAAAGCGTTTCAATCTTCTGTTTATTCAGCTACAGCGATGATAGGGATATCCTGGAGTGATGTGTGTTATTGTTCTTCTGCGGCGGGGCATATTTGGCGTGTGTGTGTGTGTGTGATGCCCTCTGGTGTTCAGATGGAGCAGCGTTTACTACCGATCAGCCGTACTTCACTGACAAGCTGCACATAAAATAATCTCAGCCTTTGCCAAATCGCGTGCAGTTTCATTGCGATTTTTTATTAGACATTACAAAGCATTAAAGCAATACAAACAAACATGGAAATGTTGACAAGATAGACGACATACACAAATAAGTTGCCAGGGTAACAAAAAAAGACAAGAATGCAATGCATTCACCTTAAGAGGACAAACAAGGATGAATATAGAGATGCAGTTTTCAATGCTTTGGGTTCATTGCAATTAATTGTGCAGCCCTAATGCGTTTCCATACACACTCGCAATACCGACCTTGGCCTCATTGCTAGCCACGGGTTTGGCAGGAAACTGCACCTCGGTGGCTTTCAGGATGGTGTTCTCTTGAAGGATGTCTTGCTGCGACTGATTATGGCCAAACGGCTACAGAATGACAAAAGATTCAATGCAGCTTCATCCTAAAAAGCAGTTTACATCAATAGCCGTGTTTCTAAACACTGAGCCTTACCTTTCGTCCATACAGGCACTGGAAGAAGATGACGCCCACAGACCACACATCTACTTTATTAGAGATCTTTGGAGGCTCTTTACCAACAACAAAACACTCTGGTGGCAAATACCTACAAAAAAAATAGAACATTTGATTTTGTTATAAAATATTTAAAATATTAGTTCGGAAAAATCGAGTTTTTTTTAAAATGGAACAGTTTATTGAACTGACAATAAAATGCATGTTTTTGATACATCAAAACTTGTATGGTTCACATAGTGAGAATATGGAGCTCATAACATGGGATAGTGGAGTTAAAAATAGTGGAGTTAAAAACATGGGAACTCAAACTGAGCAAAAGTATACTATTTGCTGCAGATGCTAGTATTTATATAATATGGCCAAAAAGTAAGATTAAATTCTGGTAGCTTGTAATGTAAATCAGTGAGATATTTGTAAAAGTATAACCGACTACTTGCATAAAATGCATATAAGGCCCCGTTTACACCTGGTACTAAGATGCGCTTTGGTCGATCGGATCGCAAGTGGACGACATTAAATACAGGTGTAAACGGGGTCTAAAACATTTTGAGAGTGTCCACTTTCGACCACTTGCTTTTAGAAAACACTCATGTGGTCGAATGTGTTCAAACAGCCACAAAAGACCGTCTACTGAACTAATGCGTGAACATTGTAGGAAGAGCTCTAGCCAGACGGGATTTAAACTTTGTCGACTGAAGACCCAAGTTTGATTTAAAGATGAAATGTATTTATGCTGCTCTCGGTGTGTTTTTCCAATGTCTCCGATCACGTTCATATGTAAATTGCCCGAGTTTATTTCGTCCATTAGATTGAAAGATCTGAAAAAACCCATACATTTACCAGCCCATAGACCCTCCCCTTGAAGAAATCAGGACAGAAGTGGTTGAAAGTGGACAAAAGAGACGGATTAAAACACCAGGTGTAAACGGGATTGTCTTCCTCGTCTACTTGTGATCCGATCTACCAAAACACATCTTAATACCAGGAGTAAACAGAGCCTAAATATAAGGATAATATCTAAATATTGGGGAGCCAAATGCATAATGCAATACAATGATGATTGACAGATGAACAAATGAACAATCCTCATAAGCCTGATGGATCATATTTGATGCATACATTTTAACATGATTTTCTTAAAACCAAAAAGAGAAATTTAAGAATCTTAAGTTTCACTCTAAAATGTCAAAATAAAAAAAATATAAAAGGTGGTCCATATAATTCTTCTGATGTCATATGGAAATTCCCAGGAAAATGCATGGCCAGATAAAAATGTGTACCTTAAAGGTATAGCGGAGGATCTTTCCGAATTTTAGAGAAGACCCGCCCTCTCCAATTTTTTTTAAAATGCACATGCGCAACACTCTATTTGCTCCCGAGAGGGAACGCCTATTAAACGTGTGCACGAGAGAGCATGATAGCTTACATTAACTTAAATGGATTTCTCCAAATACCATGACAAACTTTACCTGTCTAGTAGAATCTTCGCGACTGCGGCATCAGTGGGAAGCCCAACCTGTGCTTTTAGCGCACGCCAGCGTGTGAAATATTCACCCAAAATCACTCTGGTCTTGTTTCTATATTCTGCGGCCTTTCTTTTCTTATCATACACTTCTTAAACATTTTTTCTCTTTCGACCCTCAGCCATTTTCAAAGGAATGGCTGAAACCGTAACTCATCACACATAATACACCTGAAAGTGCGCATGCGCAGAAAGCGAAAACTACATAGGGACGAGCACGTACGACCGCCTTACGTAAACATCTCACCAGAATGATTGACACTTAGGTGGACCAATAGTATAGGCTACCCACCCGGAAAAAGAAAATCCTCCGCTATACCTTTAAATAAAATGTAAGCTGCCTTGGATAAAAGCATCTGCCAAATGCATAAATGTAAATGCAAAACCAGATGCATGACATTACTGTTATTCAGCCTGATTCCTGCCGTCTTATTTGATATGAGAGCTATGACACAGAAATGATTTTCAGTGAAAAACAACTGGTCTGTTCCTCACAAATTTTATGCTGCTATTTGGTCCTCTTTGGAGCTTTAGAGCTGATTCCTACATTTTCTGTTCCACAATACAAATATGTTTGGAATGACATGGGATTGAGTTTTTGGGGAAACACTGAAGTAATATGCACTAGAAAGCGCTGTGTTTTTAGCTGGACACTGACCAGTAGGTTCCGGCTCCCTGTGATGTCAGGTCCATCCCGTCCACTCCGTAGCTGTCGTCGTCCATGATTTTAGACAGGCCAAAGTCTGTGATCTTAATCTCCCCACATGCTGTTCCATCCACCAACAGGATATTTCCTGAGCAACCCAAAAAAAAAAACATACTTCCTATACAGCCTACATGACAAATAACAATCAACCATCCTTAAAAGGAGCATTTCTTGCACCAGTTCCCCATTCACACCATGAGCTACACGAACTATGCTAGTCTCTGACAAGAGTTCACATGTGAGAATGAAAGAGGGCATGGGCTGTGTCCGAAAGCTTAGGGAGCCGACCTGTTGCCTCGCTGCACTAGCGTTTGCGCACGACGGTACCTCACGAAACTGATTTCAGACAGACTTATGAGATAGCGCAACGGTTTAATGATCTAGAACAAAAAAGAGAGCGCTTTGGTGATAACTAAGCGAACATTTAATTACTAAAATAGTAATGAGTGGTAAAAGATGGTCAAAAATGTGTATTTGCACACAAACTGACCACTAACTTCCACCTTCATGCAGCATCTTTATTTTTTAGCATTGAATGGAACGCACAGGATTTTGGGGTAACACTTTACTTGAAGGGGTGTGCATAAGACTGACATGACACCTTCATAACCATGACATATGTCATGAATATGAACTAGGGTTTATGCATGTTTATGACAACTGTCATTAAGTGTCTTTCGCTCAATAATGACATTTTGAATGCAAATATGACATTGTTTAAGATGTCTTTGTTATGACACCTTGACATAAACCATAACATCATAACCTGTCAGTGTCTTTGTCATGACAACTTGACATTAAATTAAGTTAAACTGTCATGTGGTTGGTTTTGACATTGGCTGTCATAAGGCCATTATAACTGTGTCATGAATATTTTTCGTGACCTCAACGACAGTGGTACAAATTGAATTTGCCATTAAACAGTTATAATGGCTTCATGAAAGCCAATGTCAAAACCAACCACCTGACAGTTTAATGTAATGTTAACCAATCAAGCTAAGTGGTTTCTTAAGTTTGATAATTAATCTGCTATGTCATGTTTATGACAGGTTGTGTTGTCTTAGTAATGTCAAGTTGTCATGACAAAGACACTGACAGGTTATGATGTATTTGTTTATGTCAAGGTGTCATAACAAAGACATCTCAAACAATGTCATAATTGAGCGAATGACACTTAATGACAGTTGTCACAAACATGCATAAAACTTCCTTCATATTCATTACATGTGTCATGTCATGATTATGAAGGTGTCATGTTAGTCTTATGCACACCCCTTCAAGTAAAGTGTTACCGATTTTGAGATATCATAAGCAGCGAAGGATACATCTATGATGCCTTCAAAAATCGATCAGATGAAGGGATCTCAGACAGGATGTGACACGGTTATTGGATTCGGACGTGCCTTGTTTTTGTAGCACCGAATGCTGCCTATTGAGGCAGAGTTTTTCATCTTTCGGACACAGCCATGTTCTGTAGTAGAGCTCTGTGCCGGATAGATTTTTCATTCTCGCTCCTGACAAAAATATGTTATATTTGATCCCACTCCCATTTTGTCCCGTTCCCGCAGAGGAAGAGGTCTACGCAGATATTTCAGTCCCCGGTCCGGTTGGATTCTGTCTCGTTCTGGTGTCTAAAGGCCATTTTTCCAATTTCCAGACACAACCGATGCTTCAGATCTCCAGTGACAGACTTGTGCATGCCGTTATTATTAGATAATTATCATTTGTCATTTCTTTCTCCCGCTTCACGTACTCCTACCAGGGTGTGTTCACACTTGTAGTTTGGTTCGCTTGGTTTCTTTGGTCCGGACCACAAATAAAAAAAATGTTTAGTCCTGGTCATTACTCATTGGCATTTTAACACCAAACCTAAAGATACCAAATCTATGGGCAAAGGGATATGTTCACAACCTGATTGGTCGGCTTTTATTACATATTTATTTTGAGATGGCACTTACCGAATATCCAAAACAATGCTGTGTTGTGGGCTAAACACACTCATTATATATGTGTGTAGCCCTTTATATGATGGTGTTTTGACCAGCTGAGAACTCGAGAAGAGCTTATAAAATGTAAAGGAATCATGTAAATGTAAAGGAATCAAAACAGCGGCAGGAATCCCTCCGTCACACAAACCAAGATCTGCAGCGAGGAGACGCGGTTCTGATGCCTGTACTGAACTGTGATGAACAACATCGAGACTATGACGAGTAAAAACAGGTGTGCTTGAGCATTCTGTCCTTTTTAGGGTCGCATCCTGTGACATCATGTCCTGTTTTTGGTCAGTGTTGCGTTCTGAACCCCATCTTTTCAGCGGTCTCGGTCCACTTGTTTGGTTTAGATGGCAGCGTTCACACTTATTCAAATGAACTGCACTAGAGCAATCGCACCAGGGTTCGTTTTAATCCAACCAAACATGCCAAGTGTGAACACAGCCCCAGTATCTTTCCTCTCACAATTCAAAACTGGTCCCGCACCACACAAAGGTAAATTGTGCGTGTTGCATTCACCCGGTTTCAGGTCGTAGTGGATGATGGGCGGTTTGATCTCATTGAGGTATCGGAGGGCGTTGACTATCTGCATGATGATGGAGCGAGCCTCTTTCTCAGACATCAGCTTGTGTTGCTTCAGATAGAAATCAAGATCATTCCCCTCGCAGAACTCGAGAACAGTGCAGAATCTACAACAGAAACACATCAGGTCAACATTTGCATAGTTGCAAAAACTAGAGCAAGTAAAATGCACAAAACAGACTATTTGGAAATTGCCTACGTGTCAGTGTCCAGAGAAAAGTAGTCGTAAAGTTTGACTATTCTGGGATGGTCCAGTTGCTTGTGGATTCTGTATTCTCTACAGGCATGTCTGGAGTGGACGAAAACAAATGAGCGTGAAAAACTTGGGAGAGAGAGAGAGAAAGGAAATAAAAAAGGTGGGTGACATACTTGTGGTAGTTCTCTTTCTTCTCTTCTCTCCAGTTCTTGTTGAGCTGATGGATCTTCACAGCAGCATATCGTTGCTCGAACAGGTCGAATGCCTTCACACAACAACAGAAGACGGTTAATTAGGCGATTTTTCACAACACATATAAAGTAAGGTTAATAATTCTATGCTGTCTGTGAACATTTTCTAATGATTGGGTGTTTCATGCCACAGCTGTAACCATACGTTTTATATTACTATAAAACAGACTAAATATTATTTTTTTTGAAAATTGGTGACTTCTATGATATTGCATTTGCCGTTCGCATTAAGCAATGCAAAGCTTTGTGTAGTTTTACAATGGTTCAGGCTTATCAGTTTTTCTCTGTACAATTATTTCTGGTTTTACTGAGAATACTTCACAATATGAATGCTAATATAAATATCTGCATTTTTTTTACAAAATGCCCTGAAATGACTATGTAACAGTTTCATGATCAAATAATATTTGATAAAATCAAGTCCTGTTCAACATGTTTCTCAATGAAATATGTCAGATTACAGAAGTAAAATGGGTTGTGAAAATGGTTTGTTGTTGACTTTAATGTACACTAATGATTTTTTTATTGTTTCTGAAAGAAGTCTCTTCTGCTCACCAAGGCTACATTTATTTTTACAAAAAGATTATTAAAAGCAGTAATTATGTGTAAAATTATTACAATTTTAAATAACTGTTTTCTATGTGAATATATAGTAAAATGTAATTCCTGTGATCAAAGCTGAATTTTCAGCATCATTACTCCAGTTTTCAGTGTCACATGATCCTTCAGAAATCATTCTAATATGCTGATTTGCTGCTCATTTCTGATTATAATCAATGTTGAAAACCGTTTTTCCAAATTTCAGGAATCTTTGATGAATAGAAAGTTCACTAGAACAGCATTTATTTGAAACAGAAATCTGCCATTCAATCAATTTGATGTGTCCTTGCTGAATAAAAGCATTAATTTCTTTAAATGTATAAAAAGCACCTACTGACCCCAAACTTTTGAACAGTAATATATTTATGTGTTGAACAGGAGAGAACACAAACTGTATAAAAGTGAGTGCGTGCATCTAATAATAAAAAACGTAATACCTTATAAACTTCACTGAAACCTCCTCTTCCCAGCAAGTGTAACAGAAGATACCTTTCATTAAGGGTCGGATGGTCTTTAAACCTAAAAACACATCAGGCATATTCACACTTAAAAGATATTCTGAGATTAAGAGTGTTATTATTTCTTTTCAGATGCACATTATGGAGCAAACAGCAATTGTTGCAAAGAAAACTAAAATGGCAATAAAATAGTAAAAAAAAAAGGTATGTTTTACAATTGCAGTTTTTTAAGTTATAATCATGTCTGCAATCAGTCTTTAAACTGCACATGAAAATGTTGACCCAGACTTTTAATTCAGCACAGAGTTGATCTCAAAGTTGATCGCTGATTCTCGTGTACAGCCGATAGAAAAAACACATGCAATAACTGACAGCGGCACAAGTGTGTCTCTGATACAGCGTGCCATCTACATGCATGTAGGCAGCTCTGTAGTGTTTCTCTGCTCTTTCAGTCCCCTTATTTAAAATCTCCAAAAACAATATTTAAGATTTCATTGAAATAATTATATGTAATAAGAAGTGGGCGGGACATACTGAGAACTGTCCTCATTGTTGATTCTTTTAAGTTCTCGAATGTGCAGATTCCTCACGCGCTCCAACCGTTCCAGCTCCGCCTGAATCTCTGCCTCCTCCTGAACACACACACACGTTGGGTTTTCATGCGTTAAGAGAACATTTTCAAAAAAAACATAATTCTGTCTGATTTATAAGCTGTTTTCCTCATGGGGACCAAAAAATGTCCCCACAAGGACAAGGATTTCGGATATTGCCATCTTTTTGTCCCCATACCGTAGGATTTACCTGGACCACACACACACACACACACTCACTCTTGTACATCTATCTTTATGAGGACATTCATTGACACAATGCAATCTCTAGCCGATTACCCTAACCTTACTCATTACAACTAAGTGCTTAACCCGAACCCTTACCCTAAACCTACCCTTAACCTAATTATAACCTTATCCCTAAAACCAAGTCTTGACCCTCAAACAGGCCTTTAAAGAGCAACGTGCAGGTTGAATTTATAACTGAATTAATACTTGATATTGTCTGAAGAGGTCTTTTAAAAACACATATGTAGAAATTACTAATGAAATCTCATTTGATGTAGAGATTTTGATGAAAATGTGCTAGGCTCTGGAATACGCCTTTCCCGCTAGCAACGCGTCATATGACGTAGGCCGAGGCAAACAAGAGCTCGCGGTCAGCTGTAGTTAGAGCGGTAGTGAGAGACAGAGAAAGTTTTAGATCGAGTTTTAGAGATGCCATAATGGTAAATTGTTGTGTTTGTGCTGGTTGCACGAATTCCAGCCTGTCAGGACATCGTGTCCATCATTTTCCTTCTAGGAAAAACAAGGCTTTTCGTTCTTGGGTGCGTTTTGTGCAGGTGAAGAGAGCAGACTTCACTGCCGCGTCTGTCACCACACACTCGGTTGTTTGTAACGCACATTTCACTCCGGAGAATTATAGACCTGCTGGAGATTTTTTGCATCACAGACAGTGGTTTAATTAATACGGCTTTGCAAACATTGCATTTTGCTGTCTTGCTCTGCGGTGTTTCCAGTGTGAAGTATTTACACACAGCTCAATGCTATCCTGCTTGCTGGCTGCAAACTGCGGAATGGATTTCCTGAGGGGGGTCTCTGTGTCTCATTGAGCCGCGCCTCCGTTCAGGAAATCCATTCCACAGCTTGCAGCCAGCTAGCAGACTGGCCGGCGGGAATCACTTTTGGAGTCATTTCAGCAGGATATCGGATATCTCCGCAGGTTGGATCGGGAAAATCCGTTACATGAATTACACTGGTATCTGTCCCGATACCGACACTGGATCGGATCGGCCCCATCCCTACCTGTGGGCCATAGGCATGCTCGTCAACATCGGAGAACTCGGTTTCTTCATTCACATCCATTGTAACCTGAGCTTGAACTTGACCAGACTCCCTCGCCCATCGTCACTTCCGGTTAGTGCTTTATAGACGCGGAACTTATTTTATCACAATTTATCTCAAAATATCGTTAATGGCTAAATATATATTACTCCAGTTCAGAAAATCTAGTTGTTTTATCATCAACATACACTATACTATATAGGGGTGTCCAACCTGCATGTTGCTCTTTAAAGGGGTCTCAGAAAGTGAGGACCGGCCAAAATGTCCTCACTTTACTCTTTGTCCTCACTCCAATGGTCTAAAACTCAAACTGGTCCTCACAAAGATAGTCGTACAAGTACACACACACACACACACACACACGTATGAATGACAGATTCCAGTGAAAGGACAAAAAGACAGCTTAAAACATCCTTTCTGCAAGACTGCTTTTGCATGAAGCACCTCACTGCCTTTTAACCATATTACTCTGATGCTCATGACTGTGTGTGTGTGTGTGTATTATGTTTATATAGAGAGACTAACCTTTTTAAGATGACCCAGTCTCAGTTTGAAAATTTCTTCTTGCTCATGATACTCTGCCACAGTCAATCTGCACATTCAATACAGAAGCATTTCAATAATAGAACCATTTTGAAGACAATATTGCAGAAAACATTTGTACTTTTTTTCCTTATCTGCCTTTTCTGGATCTATAAATCATCCACGCTTGTATAACGATCTTAAAATGATGAATTGTGTCCTAATTATCTCATTTTAATAGCATTAGAAGTCAATGGGAAGTCTGCATTTCGAAGGCAAGAAGCGAGTGTGTGTGTGTGTGTGTGTTAATATCTCACAGCGTAGGCAGGCTGGGTTTGAGGAAGGGGTCGTTGTCAGCTCCATTGACTGCTTTGGTCTTTCTCTGTTTGGACTCATTGGGGGTCGGGCTCTGGGAGGAGGGTGTGCTGGGAGGTTTGCGCTTTGCTAGAAGTTTCCGCTGCCTCTCAATCTCTTCCCTCTGCTGGTTTACCCACTCTTGCTGCCTATTAAAACAGAAATAGAAAAATATTAAAACCCCAATAAAAAAATAATAATAACAGGCAAATGCAGGATAGAAAAGACTCGCCCTATTTTATTATTTACAATGGCAGATACTTTAATCCAAACTAAATGTACAATGCATTAACACCAATGTTTGTACAAAAAATGCAATATTTAATTCATTCATTAAAAGTTCACCAATATCCCATCTGGATTTCATTTATAGAATTATTTACAGACTAAATATAATGTCAAATTCTGTAAATTAGGGTCAGGCCTGAGGTCAGTGCATTAACTTTATGCTTTATGTCACATTTCGTCTAGTCTCAGCCTCAGATGTCACGCCCAGACCGTTGGCTGAACATCTGATGCATAAAGCTTGGTTCACACCACCAATGACACGCATGACAAAGCAACATGATCCCATTCATTTCAATGGAGAGCCAGCCATTTCCGGCGACGGGATGTAGCTTGTAGATATGCAAAAAAGTTGAGACATGTTTAACTTTATGTAAATGAAGAGCGACTTTCGGAAGCGACAACCAATAGGAGTGAAGAGTGCATGTGACCCGTCACTGCATCCTGTAGTAGAGTGTCAGTGGGTGATTCTCAAAACTCAAATTGATGCTTCCTCGTTTCCTCACTCCCACGTCCTCCAGCACGTGACCCAGAAACCGATCAAACTCAGACGTCTATAAGGACATCTCAATTCTCTAATTGCCACAAGGAGTGAGGATGCTTTCTGAGGAGTCATGAGCGATGACACACGGGTCTATCCTTCCCTCGCATCCTAAGGGGGTGGAGCTAAGACGCGAAAATGAAATGAAAACGAAGACGCACAAATAAGAAATGAGAAGCACCCAAAGGCAAGATGGAGGACAGGTTAATTTAAGCAGTCAGCAACTACTCTATAATTTATGATATGTCTCTGTGTACATACGGTGGTACTCGCTGTGTTGACGCTAGAGATGCACCGATTACAATTTTCTAGGCCGATCCCGATTCCGATTTTTCCTTGAGTTTGACCTGCCGATACCGATTTTAGCCGATTCGGATTTCATTTTTTCAAACCACTTTACAGCACACACAAATATTTATTTTCTATCTTCTCTTTAATAGAACATTTTGCATAGAACATTTTTTTTTAACAGATAATCGCTATAAAATAGAACTATATAAATTACTCCTGGTGTGGGAAATTCACACACATCTAAAGTGCAGTGTTATGGAACCATTTCCTTTTCACATCCAATATCCAAATAAAACAATTTGATATTTAGCAAACTAAACTTCTGTATGAAAACAGGTAATGACAATAAAATAATATGTAAATAACAAATAAAAATAAAATAAATATTGCCTTGCAGTATAAAGATATTTCTTTCTCTCTCACACACACAGGCCTATTGCAATCACTTGTACATCAATGGCAAGTTATATTTCTCAAACAGTTCTTCTTTCATCTGACACATGTCCAGCCAAGCTAAACAGGACAAGTGGGGCATGTGCAGGGAAACGATTGGGAAATAATAAAAACAAGTTTAAATGGGTAAATTTTCTATAAATATTTTTGTCTCTTCATTTTCTTTCTGACATAGCCTAGCCTACTTCAGTTCTTGTTAAAACACACCAGACATGCAGATTCTGTGCATTTTGGGCACTTTTTGGATGAAATCATATTTATTTTGTCCATCAAAAGTGTGCTTTCACTTAAATTGAGCGCAGCAAAAATGGACTCGATCGGCGCCGAAACCCGCGCTTCACTGTTGCTCACGCGACGCCCCTGCTCGACGCTCACGCGCTTCTCCGGCTCCCGTTGTGAATGCACTCATCGATTAACATGCACGCCACACAAAAAAAAAACGCGCTGCTCCCGCTTGCGGTGTGAAACGGCAGTAATTCATGAGGTTTCCTACATGTGCGCGTTTCGTGTGCACGTGTAATGCTGATGTTGCGCGATGTTAATCATGCGGCGCCCGAGTGCATTTGACCGGCATAAAATCGGATTATGTCAGACTGACCGGCCGGTCGCCGATCATGGCCGATCACGTGAAAATCGGCCGATTCCGGTCACCAGCCGATCAATCGGTGCATCTCTAGTTGACGCCGTTGAACTGAGGACATGCAGCGACAAAGTCAATGGCAGTGTGAACGCAGCTAAAGGCACACGAAAAGGGAAACATTTTGAGAGTCGTCATCTGATTGTTTGAATTCTATAGGATCTCTGGGAGACGTGTGTGTTCATAGACAGACTTAAAGGAGAACTCCGGCGCAAAATTAACCTTTGGTCTAATAAAACATTGGTACCTAGTCAACCGTTCTCTGAGATTTGTTTTCATGATAATCGAATGTAAAGAGTTTTATCTCTAAAAACTGTTTAGCGTATAACGCTAGTAATGGGGGCATTTAATAAGTAAAAAGAAATCGCTAGTTAATACCACTAACAAGGCTCAAAATAGCCCCACACGAACACAGTAACATAATGAGGGTCCCTACATGCAAAACGAAGCATTGAGAACTTTGTAAGTGTACAGACCGTTTAATAAGAAGATAAAGATAAAGACAGTCCACTTATACAGACAGGAGCCATCTTTGGAAAACAGTCTCGACTAATCAAAGCTTATTCGAATAAGCAATTTTATGATCGAATTTCAAACGCAGTTCGACTATTCGAAGATCGCGACTCATCCCTATTTACGGCATAGACCCATTAAAAGACGTCCAAGAGTCAATCTCTGTCATTGTTGGGACATTGACTTTATATTTTCACGCCCCTAAACACGATGCTGAACAAAGCGAACTGTGATTGGCTGCTTTTCATGTCAGTCAGACGGCCTCTGGGCGGTCCTTGGCCAATGAAAGCTGCTACGGAGTCCAGTATTTCTGCCGTCAGTCTGAAGGTCTGGTTACATCCAGGTCAAGCACTAAATGATGACAGTCCGTTTCTGCACTTTTTCCGTCCCAGACAAAGCCACACAAATTGAGTGTGCGTCTGTGTGCGACTCTTACTTGACCAGGTTCTGGAAGGCATATCCATCTGTCCACTGTTCTGAGTAGGACGCTCCGTGCCGGACTGTGGTGAAGTGCCCCAGACGCAGCCGGTCCTGCATGCTCTTTTTCCGGCAGGACTGCTTCTCTTGAGTGCTCTGGGAAGACGAGAACACACTCAAGAGTCACTCAACTACCCCTGACACATTAGAAATAAGCAGCTGTGAGCATATCAAACACAGCTCACCTTCTCAATGAGGAGTTTTTTACTCATCGTAGTGCATTTGTTCAGACGCTCCTTGAAACGTTCCAGCAGCTTCTGTTGCTCATCGATCTGTCTGCGGAGGTCACAGTTCGCCTGGGGAGAAAATATTAAAACCACTCAATTTCTGAACTCAAACGGCACTTTGTGATTTCTACATAAAGAGAAAACTCAAGGACAGGTGACACTCAGATGCTCGTCTGTTTGTTACTCACCCTGAGTAGATCATCTATTCTGCCCTCTTTCTTCTCAAGGTCAAGATTCTTATTGCTCTCAAGTGCAGCCAGTTTCAACAGTGTCAAATCCGTCTGAGAGCAGAGAAGGAAAGAGAAAGAGAAATGAGAGAATCCATGTCCTATCCATGTCATCATGTGTTATCGAGTCACAGTAAACTGTGCATCATCCAGTGCAAGCGAGCTTGTTTAATAGCATCAGAACATGTAGTACACACATATAACTGCGTCAAAGTATGTTTGCCAGCGCATGCAGTGCACACATTTAACAGCATCAGCGCATGCAGTGCTTATTTAACAGTGTCAGAGCGTGCAATGAATATTTTTAAGAGTGTCACTGTGCCTGTTAAAATGTCACTATGCTGTGCAAATTATGATGTAACCGTGTCAGTGTACAGCGTGCAGTATTAGAGTGAGCTCATTTCACAGCATCAGAGCATGTTGACCTTGTTTATCAGTGCCAGCGCATTGCACACATTTAACAGCATCAGTGTGTGCAGTGCTTATTTAACTGTCATGTGCAGTGTAAGTTTAGCAGTGTCAGGCTGTGCAATTAATATTTTTAACAGTGCCACAGTGTGCCGGTTAAACTGTCACTGTACAGTGCAAGTTTTAATGTAATCGTATCAGTGTACAGTGTGTATTTTTAAGAGCATCAGTGTGAGAGTGAGCTTAGAGTGCCAGAGCATGCAGTGAACACGTGTGTGACAAAGAACCTTGAACTACTTGAAAGTGTCACTGTATGCAGTGCATATTTAAATGTCAGTGTGCATTGCACATTTCAGTGACTTACGTTTGCAGTGCATTCGTGCAGTGCACGTTATATTGTCCAGTGCAAGTTAAACAGTGACAGTAATATTCAGTGTGCATGTGCAACGGTGTCATGTTGACCTTGTTCAACAGTGCCAGTGTATGCAGTGCACACATTTAACTGCAGAGCATACGGTGCTTATTTAACAATAGCAGTGTGCAATGAATGCTTTGCAGCGTCACAGTGTGCAGCGCACGTTTCACTGTGTCCAAGCGTACAATTCACGTTTAACAGTGTCTCAAAGTGCAACCGAGTGCAGTGCACACACATAAGCAGTGTACAACAGTGCAGGCCGGTCGCCAAGGGGGGGCATTAGGGGGCCGTACCCCCCCAGATGACACAACGTGCCCCCCTAATCATATGGTCATTGAGCAAACTTACTATTGAGAGCAAATAAACGTATCCACGTATTCCATAACGAAATGTCGTCAGCAGCATGAAGCACACAGGTGCACTAATCTCTGTAACTTTAAATAACACATTGTCTTCAGAAATATGAAAATTAGTCGGAGCGTGTAAGGCTCTGCGGAAGGCTTACCTTCCCCTGGCCAAGCGGGCTTGTTGAATTTTCTGATTCATTTGCCTGCTAAAAACAGCTTACTGTTTCCACGTAAAAAAAAAAAAAGGTAATTTTTCTCAGAATTGCGTGATATAAAATCAAAATGGCAAGTTATAAAGTCAGAGTTGAGTGATATACAGTCACATTTGCGTGTTATAAAGTCAGAATTGTGAGAAAAACTCTGAATTGAGGGAAATCCATGTGAGAATTGTGAGATAAAAAGTTGCAATCATCTTTTAATTTTTTTTATTCCGTGGCGAAAACAAGCTTCCATTTACTTCTGATTGCTTTTAGAGGGAAAAGCTGTCCATAAATGCTGGTCTAGGATCAGTTTTCTCCGTAATAAAAGAATATTGGCTAAACTCCGGTGTTTTGAGCGGTGAGTGGATTAGTTCTACGCGCGTGCAAAATAATCCTCTCGTTATAATAAGCAGTTAGGCTATGCAAATAAGGCATTATTGTGTATCAGCTTTACTGATAGCCTAGGAACTTTGTGAGATCGCGATGAAGTTGTATAACCGCTTTTTAAAGATAATAAAATAGGCGCTCTTTGCGAGCTTTCTGCCATGTCATGATCAGAAACTTAATATTTAGTGTTTTGGTGTTGTTTAAATATAGAATTTGGTCTATTTCAGTTATATATAGACTAAATAGGGGATGTTATTGTTTTTGTGACTGTCTGTTTTGTAGATCATAAAAAGTGTGCCCCCCCCATGAAAATGAAATGCCCCCCCATTCTATATGTTCTGGCGACGGCCCTGCAACAGTGTCCTGCACACTGACAAGTTTAACCATCAGAAAAAGCAGGGCATATTCGATAGTGCGCAAGCAATAGTGACAAGTATTACCTGGACACTTCTGCTGCTAATCTGTTTTGAATTCATCATGTGATCCATGAAACACAGGCTGGTGGGTGAGGAGCTGTTCTGTCTGACCTGAAGAGTGAAAAACAGCGACATTTGTAAATATAAGCATCACTGGTTCCTTGCTGATGTTTAGATCTTCCTCACGACTTACGATAGCCCCAGGTGCAGAGTGAGAGTTCTGTGGCGAGCGCAGGACCGGAGGAAGACCCCTGACTGGACTTGATCCGTTTCCTCCTTGGAACTTCAGGAAGGAGATATGCCATGTTTTTTAACAGCACCACACAGCATACTAACAAGGATGTGGCGTCATCACAATGTTACCAATTTCACAACTCCACAAGTCAAAACATCTCCTAAAGCGAGCAGCCATTACACGATGAAAAAGCAGCAGTACTCTGACTAAAAGCTCTCTGACACCTGACTGACATTTAATACACAGCTGACTAAACGCAGAGTCATCCACACAAAGCTTTACTCACATCAAAATAATCGCTGATCTTGGGCCCTCGCCCGGAAGACTTTCCTGAAAAATATAAAAAAACAAAGTATGGTCAATGGATACAATCACTTTTCTGTGAGTGCACTGCTTTATTTCCATGCTAATAATTTAATGCTGTATTTTCCAACAAACATGAAGCATATGACTCTGATCCTGGATGTTTTCCAAAATGCAGGTCTGTTAACTGAAAAATGTAGTTGTCAAACAAACTATTATGTCTCCTTAAGCTTCATTCATAAGCACAGGAAGTCAACGTTACCTTGACTGCTCTCTGATTGGTTATCAACCTTCCTCTTTCTTCCCCTGGATGACTCGGAGTGCTTCTTCTCTGGAGTCTTGGGAAAACAGGAAAAAGCATTACTTTTTTATTCAATCAATTCTTCCATTCACTAAATCAATACAAATCAATATAAGTGCTTTGGGTAAGTTCCATCTAAAGCTGAATTCAGGCCTCAAAGGAGTCATAAAAGTTTCACCAAAGAGGCTTCCAGACATCATTTACCATGTCATTCCAAACCCATTTGACTTTTTTATTAATATCCTGCTCCTTTCAATGTAATAAATGTGAATATGAACAGGTGCAGTCAAGCTTCAAAATGACAATCATAAAAGCAATTCATAAGAGTTTTGCGCTTAGAAAACAAAGAATAAAATTGCATTGCAGGAGGAACTCAAAAATAAGTTATTACTGAAAATCTTCTCTCCACTACAGCTTTTGAATTATGCCACGTCAACTTTAACATCTAAGATATTATATCACATAACTGTATTTTATATATATATATATATATTAGTGCTGTCAAACGATTCAAATATTTAATCACGATTAATCGCATTAATGTCATAGTTAACTCGCGATTAATCGCACATTTTTATCTATTCTAAATGTCTCTTGATTTCTTTTTGTCCCATTATTTTCTCTCATTTTAATGCTCTCATCAACATGGAAAAGTGGATCGGCTTGCTTTGTGCAAATGTTTTGGTGAAAACAACATTGACAATACTGTGTTCAATTTCACACTAACATTCTCACTTGGAGCAAATAATCTCTCACACAATGTAACACTGTCCATCAATAAAAGGGTGAAAGAAATACTGACGATTGACGAGGGGGCGGAGTGTGTGTGTGTGTGTGTGTGCTTGCCCATCAAGTGGTATTCAGACTGGACGTGCTGCGATGATGATAGCTCAGTTCACAACGACAAAACACACAGATCACTTTGGTCTCGTCAATGGAACCATTTGGCAACTTTTTAAAAGTAAACTTTCAATTCAGAATCTTATTCTTATTGGCATCCATTTCGGCGTCTCGCGCTCGTCATCCACTCAAAATGTAACGTTAACCAACTATTTGGCCGGCTTGCAAGCACAAACAAGTGTGTGCGGCGTGCCTGTTGTTTTGTTTACGGTCTAGCTAGATCCGCTTGCGCTTTGGTCGACGAAGCAGCAAAACGTCCTCGCGCGCATTGACATGAATGGGTTTCATAGCGCAGCGCCGCGCATGCCACGTCCTGTTGCAAAAGCATGTGAAAAAAACTACAAAGTTTGCTAGGCCAAAAAGACTGTTAATCGCGCGATAAAAAAAATTGACGCCGTTAAAATGGGTTTGCGTTAACGCCGTTTATAACGCGTTTAACCGACAGCCCTAATATATATATATATATATATATATATATAAAATTTTAAAAAAGTATAATCACACAGCACAAAATGAAAATCGTCAAACTTACTGAATAGGCAGGCGATCCTCCTTTCTTTATGTCAGAGTTCTTTATGGGAAAAAAGTACTTTTTAAACACATGGACAAACTGTTGAAACTGTTCAATCAATATAAAGCTATAAATATAAAATGTCAAATCTTTGAGTATACATGTCCATAAAGTTCACCTCAGACTCCTTGTCACTAGATGACCCCAGGCTGCCAAAACTGTGACTAGAACATTCGTTATTGTTCAAACCCTAGAAAAAAAAACAATATAAAGCAGGTTTAGTCCAGATCATGACAGAGAGCTCAACAATTTTCAAAATATTCACACTGATTTCACTGGTGAAACAAAATTAAAGGGCTCCTTTTATGCCTTTTTACATGTCCAACTTCCTTTAGGTTGTAAATTAATGTTGCAGTTTGAGCATGAAACCGTCTGAAGGAAGTTCTTCTCTATATCAGTGTCAGTGTTTCTGAACTCCCTGAAACGCCTCCATTGTAGTCTTGAGTTTTCTTCCAGGAACGAACACGTCACAATATTCCTCATTTAAATAATTCCTGCCTAAGGCATGTGCAGGTGAGGCCTGAGTTGCGTTAGTAGTGTGTTGAAACGCGCTGTTATGGTACATTTTCCAAACATGCTTGATGCTTGAAGAGGTTGACCAATCACAACACACTGATCCAGCTGACCAATCAGAGCACATTCAGAGCTTTTCAGGAGGGGCTTCATAGAGACAGGAACTAAACTGACAGACGCTCAAGCGTTACAACAGAGATGCTCGCTACGACAATGTCGAATATGTGAAAAATTGTTTTTTTTTTAACATTCAAGCATGAAAACCTAATCTAATAGAGCCCAAAAACAAAATTAAGACTTTGAAAAAAGACATAATAGGTCCCCTTTAAGCAATATTACGACTATAATGTCATTACAATAGTTTCATTTTGGGTTCTTGCAAGTATGTGAGTGTTACAAAATATGGTTTTAATAGTCTTTGATTTAAACTACAACAGCTAAAACTGTGTTAGACTTGGTAAGTTCACTTCACTTCACAGTGAATCGATTCAATCTTTTATTCAATGATTCAGAATAAAGTCCATGCATTGGATGTTTCAATCCTTTACCAAAAAAATAAAAAATTATATGTAGGTAAATTTAGCTTTTTATTACTATATATTGTTGAATTGATGCACATACAGTGAGCAGATTCTTATTGATGTTCATTTAGTGAAAAATTCAAATGAAATGAACTAGTGTGGGAAACATTTCAAATAGCTTTATACTTTTTTATACATTAAACATCGTTTAATTAGTTGAATGATGCTTGAATGATTCAGTTTAAAGAAAACAAAAATAACCCATTTTGCCATTTTAGAGAAAGTATCAACATATCTAAATTATATTCAAATTAATAAAATGTAAATAATAACTTATAATTACATGATGCTGCACATGTGTGTGTTGTGTTTGCATGCGTGTGCATTACTTTAGGTCCCCCACTCGCGCTCCCTGTGCTTCCTCCTGTGTTTCCACTAACTGCCCCGATGAAACGTGCCTCCAAGAGCTCCTGCCGACGTGGATCCAGGGAATGCAGCTCATCCATTCCTACAAACACAGACAGACATGTCACACACACACACACACAGGTACACAGGCTTCAGGTTCGGGACGGGTGTGATCATGGTGACGCATCCTCCTGGAATCTTACGAGACCTTCAAGTCATTGTTTTCTGATCCTATGCCACCCTAAAAGAGCCAAAAGATCATACTTCTTACTGATTTGAAGGCACACCAAGAACTTAGGTTGTGTTCACACTTGTAGTAAAAAAAAAAAAAAAAAAAAAAGTAGTCCTGGTCCGCTTAGCGTTCACATTGGCATTTTAACACAGAATACTGAACCTAAAGGCATAGGGATTTGCTCACAAACTGATTGGTCGGCTTTCATTATATATTTCCCGAAGAAACTTTTTACAAAGCAGGCACAGAACGCACATGCTAGTTACCGGTAACAGTCGCTAGTTGTTCAAGCGCAGCTTTTTGGCCGTGACGCAGCCGACAACACAGTCAGCTTTCGTCCTCACTAGTTCTTTGATATCGGCTTGGTGTGTCCCGGCCTCAAGACGTCCACCATCCTTCAGATCTGACTATGCTCAAGCTTCTTAAAACCCAAAAAACACGCATCTGCTCTTTTAGCCATTTTCATTTTTCATGGCAAACTTCAGCACAGCTTCTTCCTGCGGGAGTCAGAATGACAAACAGGAAGTACAACGAGAGGTTTCCTGCTCATTATCAGCTGATGCCACTGACAGTTTAGCTCCATTCATCTATTTTAGTCTCAGAAAATAATGACGACACAATCTACAGAAAAAAAACAAGTAAATAGAATGAGTATTTTTCACATGCCACTGTAACCGCAATATCACACCTTCAATTTGGTGACATAGACTACTCTACATACACTACCGTTCAAATGTTTGGGGTCAGGAAGATTTCAAATAAATTATAATAATTAATACATTTATTCAGCAAAAGACTTAATTAAACAAAAAATATTTACATTTCAATTAATGCTGTTCTTTTGAACTTTCTATTCATCAAAAATCCTGAAAAACATTCAGCACAGTTTTACAAAAATTATTAGCCAGCACAACTGTTTTCAACATTGATAATAATCAGAAATGTTTCTTGCTCATTAAATCATCATATTAGAATGATTTCTGAAGGATCATGTGACACTGAAGACTGGAGTAATGATGCTGAAAATATAGCTTTACCATCACAGGAATAAATTACAATACATTCATACCTATTTTTTACTTTATTTTTGACTAAAATGTAAATTTAGTAAGTAGAAAATAATGTTCTTTTAAGAATTCTGATGTAAAGAAATTCTATACCAGTTATTTTCAATGAATAACAATTTAAACTGGGCTCTGTTCCTCACACAACGCTCTTGTACGACTTCATAAGACCTATCATTGTGTATTAGTTAGTTATACATGGGTTTTTGTGCAGTCTACATGAATTATTGCTGAATTGGGGGGGGGGGGGGGGGGGGGGGGGTATTGGAACAACGTGAGAATGTGAGTAGCCTAAATAATGAAAGAATTACATTTTTGGGGGGTGAATGAACCATTCCTTTAGTTTAACATGTTTGACATGATCTGGCACCAGAAGCCCAGTGACAGAATTCATCATTGATGCCGCAGCCAAATGGCCCCGTTTCTTCAGCACATGAGAATACAGTATCAGCAGCCGAGAAGACCAATATGAATCATCATTATAAAACCTGTCTAAAAGAATCATCTGGTCTTCAAACCTCATTACAGTGACTAGACGAAACAGCCCGGGCTCACTTGTGTTCTCCAGCCATAATCACCTGCGCACTGGAAGCGTACGACACCACTGCCATGATAAGATTCGTGCCAGAAAGAGCTACAAGCCAAAGAGATCCCAAGATGGTGGATGGGTGGAAAATTATGAAGGTCAACAGGGCAGGAAGAGCACAGCTGCCCAGATAAAGGACATTAATGACAAATCAAAATACTAGGAATGAGTATACACAAACCTAAGGCCACGTCTGGTTTGGCAAATAACCCAAGTACCGCTTGGCAACATAAGAGAGACACCAGATCCGAACATGCAGAAGGTGGAGTGGAAAAATGTGTACAAGCAAATGACCAGGAAACAAACAAAACCACATCCTAGTGTTTGCAGCTGACTGAATTCAGAGCCATCAAGATATCATATTATAACCCACCTTCTTACGGATGATTATTAAAAAACATGGTAACACTTTACAATAAGGTTGCGTTTGTTAACATGAATTATCAGTGAGAAATATTTCCAAAGCATTTATTAAACTTTCATTTTAATCCCAACAGTCTCTGTCTGTGCTAATATTATTTAATGAACCTGAGCTGACATGAACTAACAGTGAACAGTTGTATTTTTATAACCTAACTTTAACAAAGGATGTATTATATTTCCTGTGGAAGTACCATGGTATGATCTTGCTCATTTTTTACAGCTACTTTTATATCTGATGTTGATTTGATTTTAATAACAGCCAATTGTTTAAAGTGAGAATTTATTTCAGTCATTCATTCAAGTGAAGGATTTAAAATAAAGGGATGAAACATCAACCATTTGTTTTACATGCTCAAAAATTCATTCCTGGGGCAAATCTTAATTCTACTTAATTTCTATTAGTATCAGGCGTTAATAGCATTGCACTTCAATATATACACTACTGCTCAAATATATGCTCACCACAGCTGGATCTAATGAATCAAAAATACAGTAAAAACAGTAATATTGTGAATTATTATTACAGTTTAGAATATCTGTTTTCTGTTGTAATATTTTTTTTTTCCTGTGATCAAACTAAGCTGAATTTTCAGCATCATTACTCCAGTCTTCAGCATCACATGATCCTTCAGAAATCATTCTAATATGATGATTTGCTGTTCAAGAGACATTTTTTTATTATTATCAATGTTGAAAACAGTTGTGCTGCTCCATATTTTTGTTCAACCAGTGATACATTTTTTCCGAATTCTTTGATGAATAGAAAGTTCCTTTTTTTTTTTTTTTTTTTTTTTTTACATTATCCAGTATAGATATCCACAACATGGTACTACATCCTTAACCATTGTACTTTTTGGTTTGACAAGCAGGTAAAAGATTACACTTTTTCAAATCATTTAAAAAAATAAATAAAGGCAGAGCATGCATTACATGGCTGAGAACTTATTCTTGGACATGAGAATCTGAGTAATGCATTAACACACATATGATATTACACTCATCAGTGCACATATGCATGTGTTTACAGCACATATTAACACAGACCAGCCTTATAGTCACTGGTGCACTTAATACAGGAAGCACTTAAAGGTCCATTAATTTCTTCAAAAACACATCAAAAACTAAATTTTGCAAAACCACTTAATCTGAAAAAGTACTAGAATTTAAATCAGATGTGTATCAGACGGTCTTTTGCTTAGTGGATCAAAGTCATCCAGATGATTTCAGGGAAAAACCTGCAAGTCAAGCTGCAATAACACAAAAATGACCAAAAAGAGTCAACAGCTCTCCAGCACAAGAGCATTGCATGAATTAGCCTAGATAAATAAATAGGGCTGAAACTCAATCATACAAATTCATGTTAATCAGATGTGTCCAACATTTTACCTACGTATAAAGCATTTCTGGGCCACTACATGACATGCACTAAGTGCTAGATAAATACATCAATACTTTCACCCAGAAAAACACAAAATCATGTTTATTGTAATAAAATCCAGGAAGTTCTCATGTGCATTGTTGACTTCATTCGCAAACATTTAAAATCAACTTGAGTTAATTGATTGAACCGCCTACCTATAACATTTGTTATTGCATGCATGCAATCATACACTCTCAAGCACAAAAACATCAACTCATAATGTATCATATACTGGCTGTGCCTCAAAAGCTAGTAAACAGACAGCAGTTTGTGCCATTGTATTGCATGCATGCATAAATGACAAATGCATACAGTCAACCTTAAAAATGTCAACTAATGTTTGTCAGGCTGTGTGTCTACCAACCTAGACAGCATTTATGAGCCATAGCATGACATGCACAGAGCAACTCGTGTTTATCAGACACTGACAGCATCCTAAAAGCTCCCTATCTAGTTTCTATCTAACGTTACCTAACATTTTTGGGGCTGTTGCATTCCATGCATGCAGTATACATTCTCATGATTATCAGGTTCAGACTGTCTCATTTGCGAGCCATTGCATGATATGCACTAAGTGCTAGATAATTAAATCAATACTTAACCATAAAAACACAAAATCATGTTTATTGTAATGAAATCCAGCAAGTTCTCTATGTGCATTGTTGACTTCATTCTCACACATTAAACATCAACTTGTGTTGATATTGAACCGCCAATCTATTTTAGAGTAATTTATAGCATAAGAGCTAGAAAAAATAAACTTAAGCATAAAAACATCAACTATGTATATCATTTACTGGCTGTGTCTCAAAAGCTAGTAAACAGACAGCATTTGTGCCATTGCATTGCATGCATGCATAAGTGACAAATGCGTACTGTCAAAATTAAAAATGTCAGCTAATGTTTGTCAGGTACTGGCTGTGTCTACCAACCTAGACAGCATTTTCGGGCCGTTGCATTCCATGCATGGGTGATAAACATTCTTAAGTTTATCAGGTACAGACTGTGTCTCATTTGCGAGCCATTGCATGACATCCTACATTAAAGATAAACATACACTCTGAACCTCAAAAACATCAACTCAATTTAATCAGACTGGCTGTTTCTAAAAAGCTAGCGAGCTGCCTACCTAGACACAAAGACAGCATTTTGTGGGCATCATAAAAACAACACAAAAATAAGCACCTATGATGCCCAAAAATGCAGTCTGAGAAGACGCCTCGCTAGGTTGAGACACAACCAGTGACTGAGTCCCCTAATATGTGACCATGGGCATCCTCCTCACGTCAAATGAACCGTGTAATCAACACACAAAGCGACAGGATTCCACCGCAAACGGTTTAAAACACACCAGCTCATCTCTAGGACTCGATGCTAGTTATAAAAACACAGAGAGACACAGTCAGCAGACGAGAGATCAGCGGCCTCCGACACGACCGCTTCGATTAAAGGCCAGATTTACTCGAAATCACACGTCAATCGAACACAATCCCGACCGATTTCACATGAACAGACTTTAAATTGATATTCACACCGGCTTTACCTTCTTTATGCCTCCTCTGAGCGCAGATATCGAGCGGAGAAACTGAGCCCGGGGTCGGAGATCCAGTCGAGAACTGAGAGCAAGATGGCGCTCCGTCCAAACTTCCACTGCTGTTGCTGTTACTTTGGACACTCATGAAGACACTTTCCCCCGCGAAGAGCGCATCGCACACACGATCTCCGCCAAATCACACCTGTGTGTGTCTAATGCATCATGCACGAACACTGATAATCAATGCAAGGCTGCTCATGTTTTCAGCTCCGCACTGCGCACTGAGATCCTCACTAACTCACTCTCTGTGTGTGTGTGTGTGTGTAGCCGATGCATGACGCCAGTTGCAAAGGTTACACACACATCAGTGCAAAACTTCAAATCCACGTTTGATGCTTCAACCCTTCTAGCAAATTCTATTAAATATGAATAATATGATAAATAGTCTATGAGCATATGTATGAGCAGATATTAATACTCACCAAATAATGCATCCATAAACATATATGCAATACAAGATATATGCAATATTGAGTGGACTTGATATTTTGTTTTCCCAAATAGAAACAGGAGCGCAGCTAGAATGAGTGGTTAGTTATTGTCCAATAATTATTCTGAAATATTTGATGATATTACAGTATTAAAATATTTTAAGATAACAGTTAGGTTACTCTTTATTTTAAGGTGTCCTTTTACATTTAAGTACTGAGTAATATTAATTATCTACATGTAATATAGTATTTTAATAGTATAGTTTTAGTTATTAATATAGTAACTATGTAACAGGTGTAACAAGGACACTGTAAAATAAAGTGTTACCAACAATCACTATTAAATAAATATAATGCAAAATATAATATATAAAAATGTAAATTATAATAAAAATGTACTTATCGTCACAAAAGAGGTTATTAAGGTAATGTGTTCATTAGAACTAGGCTGCTAATGCAATGTAAAGTGTGTTTTTTAATTTAGTGGATAAAACTTCCCAATGTGTGTGTGTGTGTGTGTGTGTGTGTGTGTGTGTGTGTGTGTGTGTGTGTGTGTGTGTGTGTGTGTGTGTGTGTGTGTGTGTGTGTGTGTGTGTGTGTGTGTGTGTGTGTGTGTGTGTGTGTGTGTGTGTGTGGTTGTCCATGCAGGTTTACACAGACATCTTGCTCTGTGATTTGCTGACTCAGAGATCTGCCCAGAACTGAGCTTTACCCTCTGAACGGCTCCAGACACATATTTCACAACACACACACCACACTAAAGTTATCGTCCTCTGTCTCAACTCACCACAGAGGAATTCACTGGAATATAAGACAAGAGCACTCATTATATATTCTGCTGAACTGAAGAAAATTTCAAATGCAAATGTTCTGCCTTTTTCACATCAACAGCTGTATCGGTTCATAGGGTTGATCATGGATAGATCCTGCTGAATCACACTAGATTCTTTCTGAGGAACTGCTTTTTGTCATCTGACCGGAAATCTGTCAGGTTCCTCCTCCTTCACAATCTGAAGGTGTTCGTGGAATATTCTATGTCACAGAGTCTTAAATTTCCACAGACATAATTTGACCACCACCATAAAGTTATTAAAAGGAAATAATGCATCAGCTGTTCACACAGAGCTGCACTAAAGAAGAAAATCACGGACACTTTTATCCTATTGAGGTATTAATCTGAATTAAATGTCTTGCTCAAGGGTAAAATGGTGCTATAAGTCATCATGCCTTGTTCTTTGTTGTACTAGACGTTGCATTTATCAATCTTTAGTCATATGCCACACCAAACCACGTCCAACGTACAATAGTCTCTTCCTCAGATGACGCCCATTAACCCTGTCCACTCCACAGTCTGATGAAAAGAACCTCTTTACCTTCTTACCTTCTTTTAATGTACTTACATTAAAAAAAAAATAAAAAAAATTGTTAGGTACAATGAAGCAGTGGCGTAGGTTTGATTTTGAAATTGGTGGGGACGGGGACATCAATATTTAATATATTTAAAGTTTTGATCGAAAATATTGCTAGGGATATATCAGTCTCACTGGATATTGGTAGGGACGCGTCCCTAGCGTCCCTACTAAATTCTACGCCCCTGCAATGAAGTTATTGTTAATGATGTATTGCAAAAGTGTTTTGCTGCTATTAAGGTGTATACGGATGGTTAGTACAGGTTTGGTGGTATGGTTAGGTTTAAGGTGCATGGGTTAAGATGTAAGGGAACGGTCATTATAGATGTAATTAAAGAAATTAATTACAGCTGTAATTGCATTCAGGTATTTTTTTTTAAATATAAGTACAATGCAAAAACACAATAAGTGCATTGTATCAAATGATTAATTTAAATTGTAGTATTTTAATACATTTTAATCCCCATAAATCATCAGCAGAGTCTCAGAACAAGCCATTTGCAGATTGTAGCTTTTTTTGTGACGTCACAAATGCTTAGGCTCCGCCCACGACTGCTGGCGGACTGTCGTGACATGGCTCCGGGGGTTAATAAAGGCCTTCTGAAGCGAAGCAATGCGTTCGTGTAAGAAAAATATCCATATTTAAAACTTTATCGACTAAAATAACTTCCGACAGACGGCCGTACGGATCGATTTACGGCGAAAGAGAGACCCTTGACCTGACGCACAACGTAATGATTAACGCGGACGCACAGAGGAAAGAGCAAAATAACACACCGGTCACAAATTAGAAGTTTTTTTAAAGAGAAATGTGGGAGGAGCTTGAGTTTGTTGCCCAGCCCTGTTTGTTTGATCCGCAAGAGGCGTTAAAGCTTACGCTACTCCTACATCTACGTCATACATCGTCAAGTGTTATTCTTTTGGCGCAAGTCGACTTGTGTACGGTTGTCTGCCGAAAGCTAGTTATTTTAGTCGATAAAGTTTTAAATATGGATATTTTTCATACACAAACTCATCATTTTGCTTCAGAAGGGCTTTATTAACCCCCCGGAGCCGTGTGGAGCACTTTTAGCATGGATAGATGCACTTTTATCATAAATAGATGCACTTTTATCATGGATATAGATGCCCTTTTATGATGGATAGATGCACTTTTATCATGGATAGATGCACTTTTATCATGGATAGATGCACTTTTATCATAGATAGATGCACGTTTATCATGGATAGATGCACTTTTATCATGGATGGATGCACTTTTATAGATGCACTGTTATCATGGATAGATGCACTTTTATCATGGATAGATGCACTTTTATCATGGATAGATGCACTTTTATCATAGATAGATGCACTTACTTTTATCATGGATAGATGCACTTTTATCATGGATAGATGCACTTACTTTTATCATAGATAGATGCACTTTTATCATAGATAGATGCACTTACTTTTATCATGGATAGATGCACGTTTATCATAGATAGATGCACTTTTATCATGGATAGATGCACTTTTATGATGGATAGATGCACTTACTTTTATCATGGATAGATGCACGTTTATCATAGATAGATGCACTTTTATCATGGATAGATGCACTGTTATCATGGATAGATGCACTTTTATCATGGATAGATGCACTTTTATCATAGATAGATGCACTTACTTTTATTATGGATAGATGCACTTTTATGATGGATAGATGCACTTTTATCATGGATAGATGCACTTTTATCATGGATAGATGCACTTTTATCATGGATAGATGCACTTTTATGGACTTTTATCATGGATAGATGCACTTTTATCATAGATAGATGCACTTTTATCATGGATAGATGCACTTTTATAGATGCACTGTTATCATGGATAGATGCACTGTTATCATGGATAGATGCACTTTTATCATGGATAGATGCACTTTTATCATGGATAGATGCACTTTTATCATGGATAGATGCACTTTTATAGATGCACTGTTATCATGGATAGATGCACTGTTATCATGGATAGATGCACTTACTTTTATCATGGATAGATGCACTTTTATCATGGATAGATGCACTGTTATCATGGATAGATGCACTTTTATCATGGATAGATGCACTTACTTTTATCATGGATAGATGCACTTTTATCATGGATAGATGCACTGTTATCATGGATAGATGCACTTTTATCATGGATAGATGCACTTTTATCATGGATAGATGCACTTTTATCATAGATAGATGCACTTACTTTTATCATGGATAGATGCACGTTTATCATAGATAGATGCACTTTTATCATGGATAGATGCACTTTTATCATGGATAGATGCACTTTTATCATAGATAGATGCACTTTTATCATGGATAGATGCACTTTTATCATGGATAGATGCACTTTTATCATAGATAGATGCACTTACTTTTATTATGGATAGATGCACTTTTATCATAGATAGATGCACTTTTATCATGGATAGATGCACTTTTATCATGGATAGATGCACTTTTATCATGGATAGATGTACTTTTATCATAGATAGATGCACTTACTTTTATTATGGATAGATGCACTTTTATCATAGATAGATGCACTTTTATCATGGATAGATGCACTTTTATCATGGATAGATGCACTTAGATGCACTTTTATCATGGATAGATGCACTTTTATGGACTTTTATCATGGATAGATGCACGTTTATCATAGATAGATGCACTTTTATCATGGATAGATGCACTTTTATCATAGATAGATGCACTTACTTTTATCATGGATAGATGCACTTTTATCATAGATAGATGCACTTTTATCATGGATAGATGCACTTTTATCATGGACAGATGCACTTAGATGCACTTTTATCATGGATAGATCCACTTAGATGCACTTTTATCATGGATAGATGCACTTTTATGGACTTCAAAACATAAACGGCCATTTACTGCCATTATAAAGCTTGGAAGAGCCAGGACATTTTTTTATATAACTTGATTGTATTCGTCTGAAAGAAGAATGTCATTTACACCTAGACTTGAGGGTGTGTAAATCATGGGCTAATTTAATAGAATTCTGCCTAAAGCATGTCTGATGTGTTCTGTATGGAAGCTTGTTTCCGCCACTGAATAAAAAAAAATAAAAAATAATTGCGACTTTTTATCTCACAATTGCGAGACATGAAGTCGCAATTCTGAGAAATAAAGTCGCAATTGCGAGAAAAAAAGACAGAATTGCGACTTTTTATCTAACAATTCTGACATTTTTTCTCACAATTGCGAGTTTACATCTCGCAATTCTGACTTTATAACACATAATTGAGTTTATATCTCGAAATTCTGACATCTTTTCTCAGAATTGTGAGATAAACTCGCAATTGCGAGTTATCAGGTCAATTCTAAGGGGGAAAAAAGACTAACTTTTTCCCCCTCAGAATAGTTTAAATCTCACAATTCTGACTTTACAACACGCAATTTCGACTTTATATCACGCAATTCTGACTTTATAACACGCAATTGCGACTTTATATCAATCAATTCTGACTTATATCTCGCAATTCTGACTTTATAACACGCAATTGCGACTTTATTTCACGCAATTCTGACTTTATAACCTGCAATTGCGACTTTATATCAATAAATTCTGACTTTATATCTCGCAATTCTGACTTTATAACACGCAATTGCGATTTTATATCACGCAATTCTAACTTTATATCTCGCAATTGTGAGAAAAAAAAGTCAGAATTGTGACATAAAAAGTCGCAATTACCTTTTTTATTTTTCATTCTGTGGCGGAAACAAGCTTCCATAGTTCTGCGATTAGAATACAAAATGTTTATCATAAACTAGCGCTAAGACCCAGAATCGGCATACCTAAATCTGCGGGCAAGTTATCCAATCAAGAGCAGTGAGTGATTTTCTGTTTTTCTTTTGTTGTTTGATTCATAATAGCATCAAACAGGGACGTGCACAGACATTTTGAGGGGCAGGGGCTCAAGTGAAAAAAGGGCACTTCTCATAATTACGTATTTTTTAAAACTTTTTTTAAACAAAAAAGTATATATATTAACACAACTCTGACTTCCTTTAAAAAAAAATTATTGAAAAAGTTAATTGGATTTAAATAGGCAAATGCTTAGTCTAAAACTATATAGTTTCAATATAGGCCTATATCTGTGCATTTTGTGCCTTTCAACTATCATAAGCTATCCAAACTAATGTGGTAACAGGTGACGTTTGTGTCTGTTGGAGATATATTTCCTCAGACGCCGGGGGAGTGTGATTGAAATATAGTTAAACTTCTCTACACATATGCATGTTCATGCACCTGCTAACCCATAACCTGATTTTTAGTCACAGACATGTTGCCATGGAAACTACAACGGCCCTTTACAGCCATTGTCATATGGCAAAGACAAAGGAGATGTGGGTTACAGGGCTTTTACTCATTTCTTACACACACACACACACACACACACACACACACACACACACACACACACACACACACACACACACACACACACACACACACACACACACACACACACACACACACACACACACACACACACACACACATGTGGGTTACAGGGTTTTTACTCATTTCTTACGCGCGCACACACACACACACTTGAATCAAACACATGCACCAGCATGCACACACACTCATATTCAGGTTGTCATATTTCCCCTCATATATCAAATTCACAAAACTTCGTGAATGAAATCACCAACTGCATTGGCAAACAGGGTGTGGTGGGAAAAAAACGATGTGATGACAGCTTTATTGTCACTTGTATTGTTTTTAGCCAGCTTTGGTGTCATTCACACAATAATGCAGTATATTCTCACGTAGCCTATATGTCATAACACAGTACACCATTTTGAATATGACTTCAGAAAACATAAGAAGTAGAATGAGCTGTATGGACTAATTTTAGGACTTTTTGTTGTTGTTGCTGTTTTTGTTTGATATTCTTAAGCACTATGAACTGCACTCCATATTGTTCTATGGAAAAGAGCTGCAAATAAAAAAAATATTGCATCCATAATTGGAGCAACATGAGTTTGGTGAACTATTGATTTATATTCTCTTGTAATGAATGATTGCAGAATAAATGAATGCATCAACATTACATTCATTTACATGTCAGCACGGATTATGCACAAGTGTTTGCCCTTCATATAACTGAAAAGATACATTTATTCCCTTACAAGACACTTGAACAAGAACAATAACACCTGACAAAGCATAAAACCAGTGCCAGAAATAGAGCTCTGCATCTACCGTCTACACATTTTCATCTTTCCTTTTATAATAAGAAAGTTCCAGACTGTATGGCTGGACACACCAGTAAAAAAACATTTACTTATTCATTGCTTAAACATCATGCTTATACATCAGTCACTTACACGTGAAAAACATTTCTCTGATCTAACAACTAAAATAACTTCAAGACTTGGGTATGTTATATATCACAGAAACTTTGCATTTATTCTATTCTATTCTATGCAAAAATGTATTGCTTTCCTTAGAAAACTTTATAGTGACATTTTTAAATTGACTATGTAAATATACTTTTTACTATGTAGTTTTTTATTACATATAAATGCAACACAAACATTTCATTATTATTTTATGTTATATTTTATAAGTGTATTTTATTAAAAACTTCTTAATGTTTATCCTTTATTTTTAGTAATTTATTTTCTTATTTTCTTTCATATTCCTTATCATTTTAATTTCTAACTACTATCACTGGCCCTTAGAAATGGAATTAAGAAAAATATTGTTAATTAATATTAGCCTAATATTAAAATCAAATACTAAAAACGAATAGGCTACTAAAAAATCACGCGTCTAGTGCGTTTTGGATTTAATTAAAATCTCTGATTGAATCCAGTACGTCATCGCGAGACTGGTATGACATTTATTTGTGTTGTGTTCAAAACAGAGTTCAAAAAGAAAGTTCATCACTAATTAGTCAAGTTAAAGTGCGCCATCTAGTGGTCACTTTACGAAACGCCGCATCCGCTCTGAGAAAAGCACCTCACGGCACCCGTAGCCGCATCCCAGATTCAGCGCTGCCGCTGCTGTCACAACAGAGAAAGAGGATAATAAGTTATTAGTCCGCTGACAGAAGAATAATCCTCTTCATACCGACCCCAAGCCGCTAACATTTTATTTCAAGTAAGAATAATGTTTTCTTTATTAATGTAGGGTTTCTGGTGTCAAAATGAATTATTGTGTGTTTTAAAGGCGATGTTTCTGCAGTGATTCATGAGGCCGTCTGACGTGTGCGCTTTAACTGTCATTTATGTTATAATAACTTATACAGTCTTACTGAAACTGATTTAAAACGAAGCACAGATTGAATTTCTAATGCGTTGTGTTATTAAACATCAATTCAAATGGTTTGGGGGGGGGAAAAGAAACATACACAGCTGATGCAACTACAAATGATGATGCATTTAATGAATGCGCTTTTGGATCAACAGTCCTGCGCGCGCAGTTTAAACATGTTTAATATCAATAAAAAAGTAATTATGCTTTTAAACGAATGATTTTATGTTAGTTTGAGAGCTTTCACCGGGCGGGTTTGCTATGCAGCCATATTGACTGACCATCCGGGACTCTTACAGGAGTGTCCCTTGTGTGTGTGTGTGTGTGTGTGTGTGTGTGTGCGCGAGCGTGTCACTGGGATAAACAAACTCTTCTCACACTCTACATGTAGCCGCAGCGAGATGTCATTTTAGTAAACAAACATAATAAAGATTATTTTATATAATGTACGATTATAAGAAGTTTGTTGGTAAATAGGCCTATCTTTGATCAATGTTATTCCATAATACTGAAAACAGGGATGTGTGGCATTCGGTACTGGAAAACCTATTGTAGTTCCAGTTCAGTTCCTACATTTAATTTAAAGTCGCAGAGAATTGTAGAATCAAATTTTGAGTCAAGTGTAAGGTAGTAGAATTAAAACACAACTGGATGTACATAAAGAAATTAATATAACTACTGTAATTAATAATGTTTTTTGTTTTATATATCAGAATGAATCTTACACATAAGAGTATTTCCATAAACATTAGATAACATTAGTATAATTTGAAATGTCACCTATTTAATATATATATATATATATATATATATATATATATATATATATATATATATACAGTATATATATATATTTCAATTGGTGACTATATAAGCATATATATTGTTTTATTTATATAATTTTATAATGATATTTATTTGTATTATATATATATATATATATATATATATATATATATAATACAAATAAATATAATATAAAATTGACAATGTATATTGACAATGTTGAACTTAGTTTAGAAAAATATATTAAATCAGAAAATGTATTTTACATGTCAGAGAATAATTAATATTATATTGTTAAAACTTGTGATAGACTTCTTCTAACAAACAGGCATTATCACTGTTTAACACGAGAAATCCACCCAAAAAATTAAAAAATTAAATAAAAACAAAATAATCACTTAAAAACATTAAGTAATTATTGTTTATTACAATCATGTATTGATTAATACAATAAATAAATAATGAAATATATCAAAGCAAATTACAACGTAAATCAAATCAAACTTAAGAGGGTTTTATCAATATATATTGCAAATAATTTAGGGAGTTTTAAGGCACTCTTTTTTCAGCTGGTTTTGTTCAGTTCAGTAAATTCTTCTTCCTGTCATTCCCCTTCAAATCCCAGATTAAAAACCTGTGGTTTGTGTCCAATTCAAGTTCACACTCATAAATCGAAAAAATCCAGTTCTTAAATTCAGACCTTTGCTCAATTCTGCAACACTAAAGTATTCAAAATGTGTCCTGTTGGTGAAAAGCGAGTGCAGCTGTTGATGAAGCGGTGCTGCTGGTCATGAGTCCTGCACATTGAGCTCATGTCCCGAATCACCTCAGATGTGTGTGTGATATTCACTGAGTGACCACTAGAAGCCGCTCGTGTAACATGAATCATAGAAATAAAAGCAGCAGCAAGCAAATAAAACAAGTTAGTTATAATTTGTCAGTTTTAATGGAAGATGTCTTAAAGTGTTGCCTGTATTATTTTTGTAATTGTTTTATGTCCTAAATAATACCTCTAATAAAGCAGATTTACTAACAAACATGTAGCATCTAAAGGATTTCTTGGCAAATACACTCACAAGACTTAAAGTCCCTCTGTAGTCAATCATTTTATCCCTTAAAACGCATCTCTGATCACCAAAATTATTTTTTTCTTGAAAAAAAAATTCTTCATACCTTGAAATAGCTTGAATGTAACTCTACACTCTTATGAATATTCAAATGAGCCCCGCCTCCACTCACTCACACAGCTCAGAGATCCACTGGTTGACGATCACACGTTGATCTGATTGGTTACAAGGTCGTTTGTGACGTCAGAAACACCAGCGATTTCAAACCGTGTTTTTGAGACTGTCTTTGGTTCACTGCAGTTTTAAGGAGGAAATACTCAGCAATGCTGTCGACTTATGAACTTACACATGGTTTGTCTTAAAGCATATTAAAAACACCACATAGACATATAAACAACATGTTTACGTTTACTGTCTGTCTGCCTGCAGAATGTCTGACAAAAGTGAGCTGAAAGCAGAGTTGGAGAGAAAGAAACAACGCCTGGCCCAGATCAGGGAGGAGAAGAAGAGGAAAGAGGAAGAACGCAAGAAGAAAGAGGTGAGCTGTGGACTAACCTGTAGTGGTTTATACTGAATCTGTGTGTTATACTGAAACATGTCTGCAAACCTGCATTTTGCATCCCTCTTAAGATCATTTTGTCTTTTCTGGTCTGATTTTATTTTAAAGGGGTCATATAATGCCATTTTTATACAAGCTAATATGATTCTTTAGGGTCTAAATTAAAAGTTTGTAATATACTTTAATTAAAAATTCTCATTAGTATTGTAAGAAAACACTTATTTTACCTGGTCAAAAACAGCTCTGTTTTCAGCACGCCGTTTCAGTGCATATGCCTTTAAATGATCATGAGCTTTGCTCACTCCGCCTCTCTGTTCTGTGCGTACACCGTTTGTAACACAATAACCATAACGCGTTGTTCAGTATAAACGTGGGATTATGAATTATATTGAGAACATCATACATAGAAAACATGCCGTAATGTACCCTGAGTGTAAACCTTAGACGCATTCATTGTGAAGCGTGCAGCTAGCGATTTGCAAAGATTAATATAAAGATTAATAAAACGTTACACTCACTTCAGTTCTTCTGGAGGTTCAGCAGGAACACGAATAGCTGGTACCGATCCTTTATTCAGGAGCAGCTTCTTAGCAAAACCAGCTCGTACTGACCCTCGTTTATAAAGCAGTCTGGTGAGAAATGATTCGCGCAGCGGTTCGGATTTAGGAACATTAAAATGACTGTGTTCGTTATTACACCCAAGAACAGAACACCACAATCGCTTAGACGCCATTCTGCTCATAGACAGCTCCAGCATATCAACAATGACCGCGCCGGTCCGCGCAGACTATGATTGACAGCTCGCTCACGGACGAGGGCGGGTCTGTGTTGAAACGATGCTGTCAATCAACAATCGTGGGAGGGGCGTGCGAGCTTGTGACGTCACACGGTCGAACGGCTTGATTTGAGGCAGGGGAAAACATATAAGGAGATTAAAACAAAAACACTGGATGGATTTTTATCATTATATGATGGTTGTGTACAGGCACTGCCAACACACATTTCAGTACAATCAACTTGTAAAAGTGCATGTACCATTATATGACCCCTTTAACAGTGTGTTAATTGACTGGACAATGTTTTAAATTTTGTAATAAATGGATTTTGAAATTCAATTCTCTCTCTCTCTCTCTCTCTCTCTCTCTCTCTCTCTCTCTCTCTCTCTCTCTCTCTCTCTCTCTCTCTCTCTCTCTCTCTCTCTCTCTCTCTCTCTCTCTCTCTCTCTCTCTCTCTCTCTCTCTCCCTCTCTCTCCCTCTCTCTCCCTCTCTCTCTCTCTCTCCCCCCCCCTCTCCTGTAGCTGGATGGCCGGAAGGAGGGAGCGTCTCCTCCGCAGGATGACTCTGATCTGGAGAGGAAGAGGAGGGAGGCAGAGGCTCTGCTGCAGAGCATGGGGATAGTGGACGCCTCCATGGGTATGAAACAACAAAGCAGCATGGGAAATTATATTAGGTTTTTGTCACTAGCATATCTTCACAATCACAACAAGCATGCTTTTTTTCTATTAGTAATCTACAACCTTCTAAAAAAAACATTATATCATGAAGAGATCTGCATCTTTTGTTAGAGCTTGATGCACATTCTGAAACTTTCAGAACTCAAAACCTTATTTCCAATGAGAAAAGACTATTTATTGAAACTATACAGCAAAAAGTACTTGTTCTACCACTTTTACAACCTTTTTCTGTTCATCAAACAGATTAACACATTAACTTTACACATTAACACATTAACAGAAACTTGTCCACTTACTCTATGTGAGACAATAAGGAGAAAGCAGGACTGATGCTATTATTTCTAATGTATAGATTAGAGCTGCGCGATTAATCGTTAAAAGGTCGCAATCTCGATTCAAACACACACACACGATCTCATTCTTAGATATAAGGATATCTAATAAACCTTTGAGAAGTATGATCACAGCGAACATTCAGATCTGTATTCGCGTTGCCAGTGACCCAGAGAGAGCAGTAGTCATGTATAGGTATGAATCAGTCTTTTTAACCACGCAGTTTCGTTATTTCTGTGTTACAATCATTCATATTGTCACAGAAGTCTATAGTTCAGATATAGGCTAAACACTGATTTCTACGATTGCGATCGAAATAGAGCAAATCCCCTTTTGAAAGTAACATGGTGCTTCACTTTTCATTATGCCACCAGGTGGCGACAAGTGACGGTTAAAAAATGTGTCATTGAATCATTCATTCAAGAGATTCGTTCAAAAACGCTGATTCATCCAGTAATGAAACGAGTGAAGTGTTTATGAGTGAGTCGTTAAATCATTCATTCAATAAAAATAATGAATTTTAGATTCATTAAACATTTTAAATAGATTTCAGCGATTAACACTTGGAAGAAGAACCTCTAGGAAATGATGTTATTTTGTTTGGTTGTCTGTTCAGAATAGAGGGAGAATCGTGATATATGAGCTGTTAAATGAGCCTAAGCTGGTTCTGCTGGTCGGACCAGAACCCAAAACCTTAAAATAAAGCTCATTTGTTTAGTCATAATTATGTTATCCATTTCCTCTGGTTTTATTGTTCATTGTTCTTTCTTTCTTCTTAACAAAATAGTTTGGTTTGGTTTGGAATGAGCTGATGTCTTGTATAACGCATGTGGATCCTGCATGAATATTAACCACTGCCCTTTTTGTCTTCTCTTTTTTGTGTGTGTGACTTTGATTTTGCTGCTTCTTCGTGTTTCTCGCACCATCCTCTTGCTTTTTGTTGCTTACCTACTTTTTTATTCATCTTGAATGTTTTTATGCTCTTTTTTAACCCCAAACACCCCCCTTCGCCCTGCTTATGCTGGTGTGTGTAGTGCAACCTCTGCGTGTGGTAACGGAGGATACGTGTCTGTTTCACTATTTAGTCCCCCCTCCCATGTCCCCCTCTGCCAAATCAGTGGACACACCCAGCGAAACGGGCAGCCAGGACTCGGGAGACGGTGGCATGGGGCCGAGGTGAGACGCACACACACGCACACACACACACGTGTTCATGATACAGAACATCACAGACACTAGCGGTGGAGGGAATGACCAAGATCTTACGTCACGGGAAATGTATATACACGACCATTCAAAAGTTTGGGGTAAGTAAGCTTTTAAAAAACAAATTTTTAATCAACAAGGATAAACAGACATTTATAATGTTGCTTTTTCAAATAAATACTGTTCTTTTGAATTTTCTATACATCAAAGAATCCTGAAAAAAATTATAACGCCGAACGCTGTGAGTGTGTGTTAGAAATCAGGAATGGAGAGAGAACATTGTGCTTGGCACGTTTTTCATCTTCAAATCAAACTTGAGTCTTCAGTCGACAAAGTTAAATCCCGTCTGGCTAGAGCTCTTCCTATAATGTTCACGCATTACTTCAGTGGACGGAGAGTAGACGGTCTTTTGTGGCTGTTTGAACACATTCGACCACATGAGTGTTTACACTACGAATGTGTTTTCGACTCCCTCTGGAAGTGGTGGAAAGTGGACACACTCAAAACGTTTTACACTCCGTTTACACCTGTATTTAGTGTCGTCCACTTGTGATCCGATCGACCAAAACGCATCTTAATAGCAGCTGTAAACAGGACCTAAGTGTTCCAGCTTGTGTAATGCTCTATCTCAAGATATTCGTCAAGCATCCTCCCTTCTTTCTTTCAAAAACCTCTTTAAACACATTTTTTTCTCTGAATATTACTCTTCAGCTCTTGGTCTGTGAATTGTACTTTGTTATGGGTGTTTGTATATGTTTGTATTTTGTCTGTAATCCTCTTACCTAAATTTGTAATGCAACCTTGGGCTTTGGAAAGGTGCTGTAAAAATTTAAATTATTATTATTATTGTTACTACAATATTACAGTTTTACTGTATTTTTGATCAAATATATGCAGACTTGACCATAAGAGACTTCTTTCAAAAACATTTAGAAAATCTTACCAACCCCAAACTTTTGAAAGATAGTGTTGTTCATTTTGCTTAAAATTCTATTAAAATATGGTTATATATATATATATTATTATGTATATTAAACAACTATGTGATTGCCTGTTTTTGGTTACTGAAGGGTATTAAGTAACTTACAAATAAAAGATTCTTCATCCTGTTTTTTTTATTCATGCCACAAATGATGAAAAAAAACCCCAGCTTCACATTATATAACATTTCATTATTTTAATATGTTGCCTGGAAAGCATCAATAACTTAACTTTTCTTCACACTCTGTGTTTCACATTCCTCCATGTTTCACTGTAAATATGTTTTCATCATTGTCTTAACATCTTTTCATCTATTTTCCCCATTCTTTTAATTTGACACAATATTTTCTGATTCAACATAATTTTATTTAGCAGCAGTTGAAAAAAAGCCCTTTTTCAGTTTTGAAATTTTATATATCAAATAAATGTTATATATCAAAATATCTACATCACATATACATGTCACATATTTTATATATATACACATCACATATACAGTACATTCAGAAAGTATTTACATCTTTTTTTCACATTTTAAAAGAAGTCCACAGCATAACAAGAGAAAAGGAAAATGTGCAACAAAAACTGTCAACACATTTCTACCATCTTACATCATAACACACCCTGCCTTCATTAACACTTCATAAAGCCATGCATATAAACAATATATGTAAAGTAGTTTGGGGTTTGATTTCTATTGTCTGTATTGCATTGTGTACTATGTGACAGTCATCTGCATGCACATGTATAGGTGTATAACAGCGAGTATAACCGTCTGCATGCATGTGTCTCTAACAGGACTCTTCATTGGGACTCTGACCCCTCTACTCTACTGCTCCATTCAGACTCTCAGCTCGGGTACTGCTGTCTCGCTCTCATTAACATCACTCCTGCACTCTCTGCTTTATTACCCGCCTCTCCTTCATTTATCCTTCTTTCACATTTGTCCTCTCACTCTTGCTGCCTTTTTTTTTTTTTAAACAAATAGTGAATACACTGAGACTCCCCTAGCATAGCTAGCTAAATTATGTTTAACTACCTTAAAGGTAATTTCTGATCATTTTATTTTTACATGTTTGAATTCGTTTCCCCCCGGCAAAGTCCAGGTAGAGTGACCTATGATTTATCAATATACAATCTTATTTCCTGTCGGAAAGCATTCAGACCAATATGAAATGTACCTTATGTAACATTGAATTAAAACTATTAAAACTACATGTAGTTTAGTATGTACTTAGTAAGACCCTCAAACTGTTGTACTGACTTTGTGGACACATTATCACCCCACAGCAGATGCAATTTCTAGTTTGTTTACTTATTCTTAATTTAATCATTTTTTATTTTTATACATTTTTTGTTTATTTATTTATTGCATTTATTTATTCATGTAAAATGTATATAATA